GTGTAAGTTTTATGTTTATGTTTGTGTAAGAATTTTATATTTAATTAGACTTTTAATGTTAATGTTTTTCCCGAATATGTATGTATGAGTAAATAAATTATGTTTATGTTTATGTAAGCTTTCTTAATTGACTATTAACTTCAATGTTTCCCCCAATAATTATTTTAAGAAATTTGACCAATCCTTTGTCAAACATGTGAGATGGTTCTCTTTATTTGAATTATAAAAAAAAATGGAAAAGATAATAAATTAAATAAACACAAACTTGTACTAGGAATCCTTTCTTTGTTTAACAAAATTATTGCATGTCCACCATTTCCTTCAGATATATTAAATTTACTTAAGAGGGCAATCATGGGAGTGGGGAAAATAAACAAAAAAAAAAAATCCACAAAAGAAATATTTTAGAAAAAATGTTTATAAATTTATATATGCATTTTAAAACTTTTAGCCTGCACTCGATTATGAATTTCCAACAACAATAATATATCGTATGAGCCAAATGAATTTGAAAATAAAATGATTATAAAAAGTAAAATGGTACGAACTACAACTATTGTTGAATTATTCAGTGGCATGGATCTCAAATAGTTGGAGTCGTACGGACGATCTTGTTACGAGATTACCCCTTTCAATGAATACACTTTTAATTTATTATAGTATTTTCTTTTATAAAAGGGTTTGCAATTAAATTATAAGTTTTGAATGGTCTTTTTCTCTATAATGGTATTCGAATGGTTGCTATTGAATCAACATGTCGTGCTACTGCTAGTGCATAACAATGAAACAAACATGTATTGGATGTTTATTTTTGCTATCGGATATGAAATCATGATATGCATAATAGAAATCGATAACAGGCTTAAATGCTTTTTGTTATATTTTCTTAAGTTGAGTTCCTCACATATAATTTTCTTGTTCTTGAGAAATCATATCTGAAACAGATGTATCATATATTGTTGGTCTTGTTCTATAACTCTATAAGTAAATACTTAATTATCAAAAATAAATAAACAAGCGAATGAAAAGCACAAATATTAAATGAAAATCAGAACAGTATATAATTAAGTTGTCACATGGGTGTGAGATCACACTTAGATTACCATAATTATAATTAAACGACCAGGAACATAACAAGAAGTAGAGATCGAGAGAGTGGTCTTTTGTGATCGATGTGCATATGTGTCTCCTCGTACTAGTTATTCATTCTAATTCGCTTTTGTAATAATTCATTATATATGTTTCTGTGGCAACATATATATCAAACAAGCTGGTCGGAACATGCCAATACATGTAGCTATTCTCCATGTGATCAAGCTTTAGCGTGATACTAATTTGTACTCTGTCTTATGTATATGTATTCATAATTTAACATTTAATTATTTTCAACCCTTTCCCATAACCAAGATCGACTACTCAGAACGAGCTACTAACATATATCGGAATTATTATGCATTATATTGGTCAAATACATGCAACCAACACTGGATCATTAATTCATGGATACTGGAATTAACAACATTTCATTTAGTCGATGATTTTTGGTTAAAATCTTTTGTAATATATATCACGGCCGTAAAAACTTTGCATGTTATTAATCTTTTTAATTAAAATAGTTTGAAACATGCAAAGTTAAAACAAATGTTAGGAAACGATTTGGTTTTCATTGATATATATATTTGAAACACATATCACTTTTAAATCCATCTTTACATGTGTTGTTTTCATATTCGTCTCTTAGATCCGTTACGATATTGGAAGAAAAGAAAAAGTTTGGTAATATATGAAGCATGAGGTTTTTTTAGTTGTATTGGAGGTAGCGAATCTTATTTGACTATAAAACTTATAGGAAGATCCTAAGTTTTGCCTGTCCACACATACGCACCAATACTTACTTTGATTATTAGTAAATATATATTGAACATTTGGAACAAAATGATCTGATAAAAACCGTTGTTGCGTGCATTAGTTTTTCTCTTTTATTATTCGGATACCTCTATCATTTTAAGCTAGTTGACGACATTTATACAGTTTTAGTTTTTACAGTTTGGAAAACTGAAAAGCATAAGAAGCATGCATTGCAAAGCGTGAATCCAAACGCATCCTTAAGAATTGTAAAATATTGACAAGTAGCAATTAAGAATACACGACGGAATCTAATCTCTAAATTTCATAACCGAATAAATGGATTGGATCCATTGCACCGATGGTTGCAAAGATAGATATTATATATAATTGATCCGAACTTTGATCTTGTTGTTTTTTGATAATTTAAATTACTAGCCATGCAGGTCCATGAGCGCAGTGTTTCTCAGATTCCCTACGAGTTATATGAGTGACCCTTACACTTTACGTGAAGGGAAGGGTCATTTTTTCTTATAGAATTAAACTATATACTATATACTTTCTTTTGCTTGCTAATTCTAATCTGAAATATGTATTTCCAACTTGTGAGTTTGAGAGGACAAAACTAAACTGAATATGATTAGTAACATAGTTACATAAGGAATGGTAAACAAGAACAAAAAAAAAAAAACCCATAAAAATATAAAATGATATAAAAGCAAGAAATATCATAAATATGTTGACAAACAAAAAAAATTTATAAATAAATTATCATACTGTTTTTGGTACGAAGCTCTAGTAATTTTTATTATTATTATTATTATTTAAGATTCTACCTACAAGTGAAAAAAATATATTTTATAATGTTTGTATTGTACTAATAAAAAACGAACAGTGTAAAAAATATGCAAGACCCAAAACATGTAATGTCCAATCAACCAGTTAAATTTTTTGTTTTGTTTAATATGTTAAAAAGTCAGTATTTTCTAGTGTAAAAAAGATGATAAAAAACTAGTGAAAATAGCATTCAAGATAATAGATACGCCGTTGGAATCAAATCTTCTTTTTCTTGAATGCGTTGTTAACTTAAGCCAACCATTTGATTCTCTTTACTGCAGCTATATTAATCTTTTAAACACCAATGCAATAACCATACCTTTCTTCTAATAGTTTAATCATAATTTTAGTCTCAATATTCGATATAAGGTCATGAATCATGATGTCATTTTCCCATTACTTCACTCAACAAAGCCAGAAATAAATAAAAATGACGATCTACAATATTAGTTGAGACATGCATATCTGTAAAACGAATATTCCTTAATTCTTATTCATTGATGTTGTGATTATGACCAAACGAGTGATTAACTATAATGTCCAAGAAAGTGAAATGGGCAAAAGTAATAATTACAACAAAAGTAGTGGAAAAATAATGTGAAAACTAATTCGATTTGCACCACTAATTAAAGCAATTAACAAATACTACAAAATTCATATTCCCCATCCGTGCGTTCCCATCCACTTTTAAATAATGATCATATTCCCAGCCAACAATTTGACGCAAACGGTCCTCTAATTTTTATTGTTAGTTTTTTTCTCTTTTATCTATATATATGATCTAATCATTTTTTTTTTGGTAAAATTATATGATCTAAATTCTAATCATGTGTTTATTATCTGTAAAACTAACTTCGATATCATGCGAAATAACCCGCATAAATACGATGATTAGATATGAGAAATAAACCGCATAAGTGTAATGAGTAAAACAATCATGATTCGTATAATATGATCTAGACATTTGGAATAAGTTATGTATGTAGAATGGGTAAAACCAAATAATTATTTAGGTTTAACTATTTTAATTATAGTGTAAATGTTTTCCTAAGTAATCTAATGAAATGAACTCTTATAATTGTTATTTTAAAGTAACATAAAATAAAAGCCTTGCATAAGAAACGTAAGTACATGCAAGATATGGTGGGGTTAAACATGATTTTCTTCATGGATTCTTATGTTCTTAATCAGTATCATACACAATTATCTTAATATTAAAATAATTTGGTTTTACCTCAAAAGTAAACTTTAAATAAGCGTAGAATAATTTTGATGTTCGTGTTTAAATGACGACTTCTAAAGGATACATCCAATAAGTTTGATTCGCATTAACATTAATAAAACAAGATGTTTTCGTTTATTTACAAAAAACATGATATAGTCTCATGTAGAGCGTGAAGAGGAACGAAGAAGAACGAATGCGTGAGAGAAGTTGATTAGATTAATTTGTTTTTGTATAAATGACTAGAAACTGAATTAACACATGAAAATAATTACAAAAAAAAAAGATGGCACGCAGACCAAAGCTCTCTCTCTCTCTAAAGTGAGTCTAAACCAAAACGTTCGATGAACACAGCCGGTACATTCACGAGCCAACACGTTTGCCTGCCACGTTCCAGACACAAGCTACCTAAAGAAAGTAACGGTATCGTCCGTCATATCTAACAAGACTCGTAACGGAAACAATTAAATAAATGAATTGTATATCGAAAAACAACATAATCCATCATCTTCTTTGGCTTCACGCGCCTCACGGCAAAAGAAGAAGCTATTTCGACTAGTGTTTGTTTATTCACTAGTGAATAAAAGTTACTGATAAGACATGAGAGACGACAGATGAGTGAGTGAGTGAGTGAGTGAGCTCACACTATTTAACTCGACATTTACTACTTCCTTCCCAATAAAACTCGTCGTCATTAACGGTCCAGATTCGTTCTCACTAGAATTGAATTGACCCGACCATACGTTACTTTAAGTACCTCAATAAAGACAAAAAAAACGTCAAGAAGTTTGCGAGCGAATGGATAAAAACGACAAGGAGTTTGAGATAAAGATGAGAGAAGAAGGAGGAAGACAAAAAGCCAGATAGGAAGAGAAGGAGCGGTTTCGTAACTGAAACTGAAAAAAAGCTTTAAAAAGAGAAAAACCCGGAAAAATAAAAAGAAAAAAAGAGAGAAGAGAACAAATTTTAATTAATTTATCTATTATCACAATTTGTGCTTTTGTTAATCAATTTATGTTCTGTAATAAATTGAATACAGACATAACCGTCGTTTAAAGAAAGGAGAGTTTTTTTTTTTACATACTATCTTCTTACCACCCTCCTTTGATGACTCTCTTGTCTTCTTCTTGTTTATTTTCTTCTCTGATGGGTTAATAATGCTCTGAGCGTTTTTTCTTTTTCTTTTTGGTTGAGAAGCTCGATTTTTAGCTTCTTCCTGTTGCTGTTGTTTGCTTTGTGGAAAGCTTGGATTTTTGTTTTTCTGAGGTTACTTCTCGATGGCGAATGTAGTAGATGCTGATTTCGGAAGATCAGGTGAGTTCAATTTTGACTTCTTCTATAACCCCAATTTTTAGTTTTCTGTTTTTTTGGTTTCCCCTGGTAGCTAAGCTAATTGTCTTGGGTAAAAGTCAACATTTTTACTTCTTTCACATCCGCAGGTTTGTTGTTAAACGAGCTAAACAAGACCACTTCTACTTTTGAAATTCAAAGGTTTGATTTTTTTTTTTTTTTTTTTTTTGGAATTTTAGGATCTAATGACGGTCAATTGTACACGGAGCTATGGAAAGCTTGTGCAGGGCCACTTGTGGAAGTTCCTCGTTCTGGTGAAAGAGTTTTTTACTTCCCTCAAGGTCACATGGAACAAGTATATCCCTTATATAATCACTCTCTCAAATATTGTTCTCTCTGTTTGCTTATTTCCTTTCTCAATTTCAAGACTTCGAATATATTTTTATAATAACAGTTGGTGGCTTCGAGTAATCAAGGAGTCGTTGATCAAGAAATACCAGTTTTTAATCTTCCTCCGAAGATACTTTGCCGTGTTCTTAGTGTTATGTTGAAAGCAGAGCATGAGACTGATGAGGTCTACGCTCAGATCACATTACACCCAGAAGAAGATGTAAGTGAAAAGAGTCATATGTATATATATGACTAAATGTTGATTTATTCAGTTGTTTGAATTTGTTTTTTTTCTTTTTTTCTTTTTGCAGCAAAGTGAACCCACAAGCCTTGATCCACCATTAGTCGAACCAGCTAAACCAAAGGTTGATTCGTTTGTGAAGATTCTAACAGCTTCTGATACAAGCACTCATGGTGGATTCTCAGTCCTCCGTAAACACGCCACTGAGTGTTTGCCTTTACTTGTAAATGCTTTTTTATCCTTCCCTCTCCATTTTTCCAGATTATGGCCTTTCTTAGCTTAAGTTGTCTCTTTATCTATCGATTTCTATTTTCAATACTTAGGATATGACTCAAGCTACACCGACTCAGGAGCTTGTAGCTAGAGATCTCCACGGCTATGAATGGAGGTTTAAGCATATATTTAGAGGTAACAATCTATTTGAGAGTCTCTAAGAGTTTCTTTGGTTTCAACAGTCTATTTAGTTTTGATTGATTTCCGTAGGTCAACCGAGGAGGCATTTACTTACAACAGGTTGGAGTACATTTGTAACATCAAAAAAACTTGTAGCTGGAGATGCATTTGTTTTCTTGAGGTATCTACAAGGCCTGGCCCTTTTTACTTTCAGGTCTTATAATCATAAGTAATCTTCTTATGTTGTTTTAAGGGGTGAAACCGGGGATTTACGGGTTGGCGTGAGACATTTAGCTAGGCAGCAAAGCACGATGCCCGCATCCGTTATTTCCAGTCAGAGTATGCGTTTGGGAGTTCTTGCTACAGCTTCTCATGCCGTTAATACAAAATCTATATTTATTGTGTTATATAAACCAAGGTAAAGTTTTCAAACTTTGCATCTTAGATAGTGAAATGTTTTAAGCTTATTATAGACTTGACTTTTCTTCAGGATAAGCCAATTTATAATCAGTGTGAACAAGTTTATGGTGGCAATGAAGAACGGGTTTTCTTTCGGTATGCGGTTTAGGATGAGATTTGAAGGAGAAGAGTCTCCTGAGAGAATGTACATTTCTAAATTTTCTCTTTGGTCTTTCGTTGGTTTCTTAGGTCTTGTCTTGATTGTTGTTGTCTGAAATTCAGATTGGTTTATTCTTCAGATTTACAGGTACTATTATTGGTAGTGGAGATCTATCTTCTCAGTGGCCAGCTTCAAAATGGAGGTCACTGCAGGTAAAAGTGAATTTGAATCATTCTCTAGAAGCTGATATATCATATGATTCTTGTTGCATACTTGCTATAAATTTTGAATCTTTTGTCTCCCTATATACAGATCCAATGGGACGAGTCATCCTCTATTCAAAGACCAAACAAGGTTTCACCATGGGAGATCGAGCCTCTCTCACCATCCGCGCTAACCCCTACGCCTACTCATCCACAATCCAAGTCCAAACGGTCCAGACCAATTGATTCATCAGTTTCAGGTACCTTCAAAAATAATCTTTAGATACTTTTTAGAGTTAATCAGGTCCACTGTATTACAAACAATTACATTCCAAGAACCAAAAACAGAGAGAAATTACTTTTCTAGTTTTTACTGCTTTTTCTCATTCGCTTTCGACAATGAAACTTCTTCTGTCCTGCATTGCAGAAATCACAGGGAGTCCTGTAGCTTCTAATTTCTTGAGCAGCTTCTCGCAGAGCAACGAGTCTAATCCATCAGGCAAACTGCTGTTCCATGATCCAGCAACCGAGAGAAACGTGGACAAAACGGTGCTGTCAAGCGGATTACAAGGCAAGAACTCAGAGGCTCCGGGCACAAGTTGCTGTAGGCTATTCGGATTCGATCTCACGAGCAAGCCTGCTTCTGCTCCAGTTCCTCCTGACAGGCAACTAATAAGTGTGAATTCAAACAACTCTGATTCTACCACCAAGTGTCAAGATCCTAACTCGTCTAACTCAACAAGAGAGCAGAAGCAACAAACATCCACAAGAAGCCGAACCAAGGTAAAACAAACCATATTACTCTTCACTTAAAACTCAAAAGAAACAAACTTTGTTGTTTCTTATATATAAAAAAAAAAGCCACTTTGTGTATGTTTGTTCTTGTAAAGGTGCAAATGCAAGGAACAGCGGTTGGTCGCGCGGTTGATTTAACATTGTTAAGATCATACGACGAACTAATCAAAGAGTTAGAGAAAATGTTTGAGATTGAAGGAGAACTTAATCCTAAAGACAAATGGGCTGTTGTGTTTACAGACGATGAAGACGACATAATGCTCGTAGGAGACGACCCGTGGGAGTAAGTCTCTCTCTTTCTCTCTCTCTGTTCCCCTTTCTTAAAGTCTTTAGCTTTCTCTCCCTCTCTTGTTCTAACGATTGTGTTTATTTTTGACAAATATGTTATCTTGAATGTGCAGTGAGTTTTGTAAAATGGCGAAGAAGTTGTTCATATATTCGAGTGATGAGGTCAAGAAAATGAGCTCAAAGTCGTTGTTGGATGATGAAGCTACGATAGTAAATCTTGAATCGGAACAGAGGACAGTTCAAGATTAATGAAGAACGAAAATGATTTCTATCTTTCTTGGATCCTCCTCACACCGAGTTGCGAAGTTAGGTGGGCTTTTATGTGTTTTGCTTTTGAAATTAGGTGGGTTTGTTATTTAACATAAAAGACTATAATATAATTAATATATATCAACTATATATAATAAGATAGACGAATGCACTAAGTATCATCATATTTAGGCTCTAGACGGCGTCGATATGTGTGAAGTGATAGCTTTTTCGACGTGGCTTTCGTTTCGTCGTCATTACTAATGAATGAATTATGAATGATGATGTGTTATTAGCAGCAGCAAATAATATAACAAAGAAGGGTCACATTTTTCTCATGTAAAGATTCTGTGTAGGCCTAAATAAAGATGAATTAACATGGTAGTAGGCCCAAATACTGAGCCCATAAGATTGTTAATTAATATATTATCTTTCACGTCCTCAATCTTTTTAGATTTCATAAATTGTTGCTTCTTATTTATAATCAGTTGACTAATTAACACAAGAAAATAAAAACAAAAGAAAAAGGTGTCAATAATATACAAGTGTTTGCAAATTTGTTAATGCATACTTATAATAAAAAGGCTTAGTGAGACTGTTCTTTTTTATTAATAATATGATGATATTAGTATATGATAATCCTTTAATATTTAAGTAGTCAAAGAAGACAAAAGGAAAGAACCTGCTCCCTTAATCTTGTGTTTCGCGTAAGAAAAGACCCACACCCTTGCCTTTAATTTTATTGACTAATAATAATAATAATAATAGTATTAAAGAGCCTCCTCACCTAAGACCACATTCATCGTTTTTTTTTAATAATTGTTCTTAACTTAAGTTAATCATCATTATTTGTATTAGTAGTCTCTAGACATGCGAAACACACAAATAAGCTTTGGGAGAGAGATCATGATTCATGAGCTCGGGCTGGGGGGTGTGTCGGTGGGAATGTGTTTACTGATGAAAACCACATTTGAGTAATGGGTCCACTTTTTTTGCTTTCTTTAAACTCGTTTTCTAATCATAATAAAGTCATTTGTCGGCAGATTATTTTCACGTCAGCTAACATAATTTCTCAATTTTGTTGATACCACAAAGTTTTCTTGGATGTAGTTTGTTGATATCACAAGCGCCCAAGCATTTTGTTATCATTTGCATGAGTACAAAAATGATTAAATGTTACTTACAAAAGCAGCGGATATCGTAAAGAGAGCATAGATAGGGTTAAAAGAACAGTCTCACGCGCCTTTTGCATGAACAGTCCCAAGAGATTATGGTTTTGGACTGCGCTTTGGTGTTGCTTTTTCAACTCTCGCCCTGTCTGAAATGTAATTTGGAGTTGTTGGGTTATTTATTTTTTCACTGTATGTATAGTCATTAATAGTGATGCACTTACTTAGAAGCATTAAAATGCTGTTAATAAATCATGTAGAGAGAATAACACTGCTTGAACTTTAGTGTCTTTGAATAGTAAAATGAAAACAAATGATAACAGTTTAGTTGGTGGATAAATATTTCAAGGGATTTGGTGACGTGGTCTCTGTCATTTTCTTCTTAACAAAAGAGTATTGACTTTTATGTATCTCTTATTTAGTCAACAGTAATAAAAATTCCACCGTTGGATCATTTATAATCACAAATGATTTGTGACATATTTAATGCATTGTCTATTTTATCTTCACTCTCCACTACCTAAAAAAAGAAACAGCCCAAGACTAAAAAGCTGAAGAACAAGTTAAGTAACAAAGAAACAGAGAAGAGAACACACACAAAAATGAGAGAAGAAAAGGAAGACGAGAAGGCGAAGCTGGCACTTGTGTTAGCTGCAAAGTCGAGATCGTTGTTGTACACTTCATCTCCCGCAAGTCCACGCGTGTTCGCTTCTCCGATTCACACTCTTGCCTCTGTTCCGTTTTGCTGGGAAGACCAACCAGGCAAGCCCAAGAACCCTCTCCGTCCCCTTTCTTACCCCAAGTGTCTTGACTTGCCTCCTCGTTTGCTCCTTCCTGGTGAGTTTACGCAAATGCCCTTGTCTGAAAGGAAACATGGTCCTTTCCGGTTCTTGCGAAGGAAAGGGAGAGGGGATAGTGATGTTGTTGTCAGGGGTAATTATGTCTTTCTGTCGGAGAATCAGAGAGCAGGAGAGATCAACGAGAATAACATGAAGATCATCAAGTTTAACAGATCAGGGAGTTACCATGGTTCTGTTAAAGGATCTCACTTTTGGGTAAAGAATTCATCTTTCTCCGCTCTTTCTTCGTCTTTTCTTTTTTACTTAAAATGGGTTTGGTTGGGACAATGCAGAAAGGTTTATGCAAGGGACTGAAGCTAGCAATGCCATGGAAGAACAAGAAGCTAAGAAGCGAAAGCGTTTGAGCCTGTTACCAAGTGCATTACAAGAGACATCTTATCATCTTTCTATTTATCTGTCGAGGGATCAAGATGATGTAAAAGAGCTATTTAAGAGTGTATGTAAGATTTATTATAATGAGAAACTAATATATATGTCTGATGTATATATAAATATATATAATGTTAAGAGTCATGAGCCATGGCAACAAAGTTTTCAAGCTTCTTCATTAATGAATACATCTGATCAAGTTCTGATCAAGAGTGAGTGTACACACATGCCTTTATATAAGTTTCAGAACAAAAACATGAGTCTGCCTTATTTCATTTGCGAATTAAAGAGTTAAAAAGACAAAAAGGAAAATGGATAAATTGTGAATGTAAGAAAACAGGGGAAAATCATTGCTTGGATTAAATCTGTTTCTTCCCTGTCACACCAGCAATAACCTGCAAAAGCAAAATGGATCCCAGTTAATACTTAATACATTTGGTTGCCTATATAGGCTATACAACAAAGTGTTGGATTATTAACGAGATCATGGCACTCATCCATTACTAACTAAAAGACACAGAGTTTTCACAAAGCCATACATGAATCAAAGATGGAACTCTCAAATCACATAAATATGCAAGCAAGGCGAGGAGGAACAAAAACAATGAGATGATGTATAAGCTAAAAATCACATTGCAAAACATGACAGAAACAATAACAATATCGACAAACACAAACTATCATCATGCCAAGATTCCGGATCAGAAACATCTAAGCGATATAAAATCAATGTTTAAGGATTTTAACCATCTCGTCCAAGTAACAAAACAAAATTCCACAGAGATAAAATGAATACTTACATCGGTAAGTGGGGGAGCTTTAACTTGTTTGGATGCCTCGAGTGAGTCAAGAATAGGCCTCACAACAGCAGGCAAAAATAGTCCTAGGAAATGAAGATAACCATCAGCACATGTATAAAAAGATTATGTCTTTTGCTAACATTACTACTGTTCCAAGTATTCCAAAAAAGACATAATCTTTTGCTACAAAATCGAAGAAAAATGGAAGAAAAAGGAAGACGCTTGCATCTATTGAAGTAATAAAACTTATCAACTCCTAAACAAACTCTCTTATAAGAACGAGATGTCCCCTTGTTACATTTGGATCATCAGGCATTTCTTTATTCTCAACCAAAAATAGAGCAAACCATCAACAGATTCGAATCTGGATTTTGCGATCTGTAAGAAAAAGGGGATTACAAAGAGAGATTGAATTTAGGGTTCATACCAACGCCGCCGATTAAGCAAGAAGCAGCAACAACTGGCTCCTGGGCCACGAACATCCTCAATTTCTCCATTACCGGCATTTTGTTTTCCGATTTCAGTCTCTTCCTCTGTGATTACGACCGAAGCTCGTCGTCGTCGATGTCTCTGATTCAATTAATATAGTTCCAGAGTACACCATTTCCTTCACATGGGGATTCAATTATGGATTCTAGTCGGGTCGGGTCAGGTCACCGGGCCCGAATGTTCGAATTCAGCCCATAATAATTGCCACGTAGGTCAACGACAAAATCAAAACGGAGTGAAAATTACATTTTACCTTTTCTCTTCTGTTTCTTTACCCAAGAGTAAAAATCTCTAGAGTGAAAAAAGAAAGATCATAAAGCTAAGAAAAAGTAATATATGCAGATTTTACATGAAAGGTACTTACTTACACGAAAGATCATATGATTTTCAAGAAAAAACAAAAAAAGATGAGAAACTATACGTAGAAGAAAGTAAAGAAGCACAATATTAACAAAATTCTTACAACAATTTACATTCTCATTAACGAAATCCAAAAGCTGCATTCGAAGCACATCTTAAACTCTCATTTCAAGACCTGTTCAGTGAGAAAAAAGAGGATAAACCTTTCGAGGTCTTTCGTCTCTTTTCTTCTCTTCTCTTTCTCTTTTGATTAGAACGATAGCATCTGCATCCATCCTACAGTCCAACCAAGAAGCAAACCAGCACCAACAAGACTCATCCCCAGAGCTAAACTAACCGCGTACTTAGCTCCATTCGGTTTACCCTTTTTGCTTCTTCTCTTTCTCCCCGGCTTTCTTGCTTCGCAATTGCTCCAAGGGATGGATACCGGTGGCTCGTTTCCCTTCTTCCTGTTGTTGTTATTCTCAACCTTCTTGTTCTTGATTTGGAGGTAAAGTGTTTCGAGCTGAAGCAGTTGTAGCCATTGCTTATACCCGAAAAGCTCTGATGCTTGCTTGAACAAGAGCTTCACCAAGTGCTCTTTCTCTGCATAAGCTTCTTTAGCCATGTTCTCCGCCTCCCTTGCCCGCGTTTGGGAATGCCTCAGCGCTTCTAGTAGTTCCGATTTGCTTAAATCAGACTCAGACGAAGCCTCGGTTCTGTTCTTGCAGCTGTTTCCTCTGCTTGTCCCGTGCTCGTGGATGGTTTGGTTAGAGACAGAATCAAAACCACGTGGACTACCATAATAAGAGCGTTTCATCTTCTGCGGTGTTGGAAGATCACAGTTCTCAACATAGTCCAGCGATCTTTGTGCAACCAAGGAAGCTAATTCATCTTTATCCGTAGTTCGCCACCACGGTCCAGCTTTCTCGCTTGCGAGAGGATTCCATGGCGAGCTCGGATCGAAAGTTGGCTCATTTAACTTTTTCACAGTGGACTCATCATACCCGGTTGAGCCATAACTTTCCCTTGTTTCCATTAACTCTATAAACTCTTGAAAGCTTTCGGAATTAAAAGACTTCCCTTGTTTCTCTCCAGCTCCCAATTCAGGCTTCTTCTCGGGTACGCCTTGATTGTTGACCTCAGACTCCAGTGGCTTCTTATTCATCTGAAAGGGATGGTGAGGACTCCACAATCCGGTGTTGTGAGGTAAGAGATCATGAAAATTCGGGTTACGATGAAGAGGCATGAAACCTGCAAGAGATGACTGATTAAGTGGTTCAAGAGAAGCTCGAGAAGATCCAGAGTCTTGGACTTGCTTAGTTGAAGCAGTGGAGGAAGAAGAAGAAGACTGGCAATAGGTAAACTTGGGAGCTCTTTTAGCGTCTTCTTGGACAAAGCAACGGTTAACAGTTCTTTGCCACACTGCTCTAGCTTCAGCTGCAGCCATTATTTCACCATAACTCTGTTAAAACAAAGACAAGATACTGAGAAACATCAAATTCAAAAAGATCAATGTGATTCAGAAATCAGGCAGATTTTAGCAATTAACCGTTTTTGATTCTATTTATAGGAGAGACAAATAAGACATCATTATAAAGGAAGAATCTTTCTGATCGCCGACAGATCCATCACCAAAAAAAAGATTACACAAATCCGTTTTTTATATTTGTCAATAAGGGAATCTGATGTTTTGCCTTAAGAGAAAATGAAGAATTGGTTCCTAATTTTTTTACAAGCAAAAAAAAAAAAACCAGAGACAGATTCTTTGTCAAATTAAGCAAACTCATTTTTTGAACTTACCAACGAAATCATCTTTACTTTGCAATCGAATTCAGATCCCCAGAAACTTCAAACTAAAATTATTAAACCCATTGATATATAATTATAATATAACAAACAGACACACAGAGACATAACATCCAATTTAGGTGAGACCTAAGAATCGAAACCCAGACACGAAAACAGCGGATGATGATCCAATTTTTTTGTCGGATTTGGGTGATATAATTCATCAACTGAAAACGATGAATCATAGAGAAACAATAACAAAGATAATTTGCAGATTCATAAAAATAAAACTAACCAGAAAGAGAGAGTAACACCAAAAAAATTTCAATAAGGAAAAGTATATGAGAATCCGTCTCGTGAAGATAAGAGTTCGTTCTGAGATTTTTATTTTATTTCTTTTTTTTTTGGGTTTGTCAGAGAATTTTTGTTTGCTATCGATTAAACTCAAAAGCTTTTGAATCTTTTTTTTCTTTTCTTTGCAGTTTATTTGTTTTCTTTCTTCCTGTATCATTCAGCACGCAAGCCTCGCCTTAAACGACACCGTTTTGAGAGGGCGTCAAAGGCTCATAGTGTTGTGTTAATGAGTCTTTTGAGTCCACAGATTTGCCCGTAGATTTCACACGACAGCCGTTCGATTAGATATTAATTACACGTGGCATGAAACGCGAAGATCGACAAAAAAAAGGCTCCTCTTTCTTTTTTTCCCGGATAAGACCTTTTTATTTTTATCTGCATTGCATTATTATCATTTGGAGGGAACTCTTTAACTTCTCACTATACGCTAAATTAGATCACGTCAAATAATTTTTTATGATGATTTCGATTTTTTGCCTAATTGATTTTATATTTTTCTCATTATATCAAATTAAATTTAAAATACCAAATAATAATTTAAAAACAAATAAAAACTAAATAAACAAATATAAGGTCATTTTTTTATCAACGTAAGTGTCATTCAGATTGATTTTCTATAACACTGAGTACTTTTTTTTTGAGGTTTTAATTTAAGGTAGTCTCTCTCAATTCGCCATCAATAATAAGCTTAATAATTGTATTATAAATTATAAGTTCTTGTTTTTTTTGTTTTTTTAATAATTACAGGTCAATTTCCGGGTTTAATATAGATTTGAAAATTAGGTACAGAGAGGATGTAAATAGTGGCGTCGCATAGGAATTGAGCGTTAGGTGAAGGCATTAACGTCTTCAAGTCATACGTATTATATGGTTTCCAAGTCTCTCTCCACTATTCTCCTATTGATAGTTACCTTACCTACCTGATGAGAGATATCTCTGTTTTACTAAGTGATTTCATAACTTTTTAGAAACCAATTTAAGCGATGCTTGCTTTTATTATGTAACCAAAATACTCTCAAGGAGAGAAGATTTCTATATGTATAGTTTATAAGTAGTATTATTACTAACGAAATCTTTAATATAAAGCTTGAATTAACCTGGATAAAAATTTGCTTGGAAACGGTAAAATCCAAACAATTCGAGATCACCCTACATATCAAAAATGTTGTATACTAATTGATAAGATGCTTTAATTAGAGATTTATATCTTCTATGTCCTTTATTTGAGGACTGATCATCTAGATGTATATAATCGTTGAAACTGACACCATTTTTATTCTGATATTATGCTTTATGTCAGCACTAATATATATTCAGTCATAATTACGACCATATGATATACAACTAACTTCATTAGAATAACTATTTACTGAAATGGACCCTTTTACCTTTCTTTTTTTTTTGTGAACCGGACCCTTTTACCTTTAACTTAATATTATTTGGGAATCATACTTGCCAATGGGTTTAATCAAACAATTGATGATTCATAATATATCATTTCCGCAGTTTAATAAATTAACCACAAGATAAAAGATTCCACTACGTAATACGATAGTGGCCGGGTTCTTGGCCGTCAAAGATTTCTTAATCTTATTTAAACTGTAGTGTGCTGCTCTATTGCACCACACTTAATTCCAATCTAATGAGAATCATTCCGATCATCAATCTGGTCAAAAGTCCGATGCAAGAAAGTCAACCCAAATCCATGTCAAAGATAAAACACAGATGATATTTTCCAAAGTAATTCAAGTCAAGTCAAAGATAAATTTTAAAAATCTGGATTAAGGTCAACTCAAGATGCCACTGCTTCATAATCTAAATAATATATGCGCGTGTTATATATGTATACACCCAAAATAAAACCAAACCATATAGAAAAAAGTTACATTACAAAAAACAAAATCACAAGAAGAGCTATATAACTCGTTTTCTCGGCTATAAAACTTTCCCCTGGAAAAGGTTACTTTTATTTACCATCGTCATAGGAGTCTCTGAGGCTGACCAACTTCACCGTGCCATCACCGCCACACGTTATAAATCCGTTCGGACAAACTTGTATGTCAGTCACCCCAGCCTACACCAATTTTTTAACAGAAACGCAAACTTTAATGACCGTACACCGATTTTATAATATTAAATTACTTATTAAAAAAAAACAGAAGCGCGATGAAAGGATTCAGCTTTAGGTGGTTTGGTTACTTACCCGGATGATTCCACCGTAGCCTCTAGAGTTCGGCTGTAGAAATGTATGTCTTTCGTGTAATTTGGGCCAATGATGTATCAACTTGGCTGCTTTCGCATCCCAAAGTTTAACTTCTCCGTCTTTGCTTCCTGTCAAGAACAGACTTGTGTGCGGGATTGTTGATATTTTCGTCACGCTCCCTAAAATTTTAATCGTTGTCAAATCAAAGTTGTGAGAAATACTTTCCGGTTTAATCAGAATATGCAGGTGAATATAGGGTTTAAGGTGTGCACCTAAGTGAGCCTTTGGTATATACCAAAGCATCCCATTCTTGTGTTGATCCCCATCAGTTGAAGATCTTCCGTCAGGGTTCCTTTGCTTCTTCATCTTTCCGGTAGCAATATACCGGAAATCGTGCAAACCAACATCCCCGTTTTTGCCACCAGTCACAATCATAGGTGAAATTGAGCCACTACCAATGTCATTATCGAATACTGAGATAGAGCGCGCACCACCTTCATGAAAGAAAAGGGACAAAAAAACAAACAAACTTGTCAAGAGTTATGATTATGGGAAAATGACGCTAATGGTTAACACAATTTACAACTTGTTTTATCGGAAGAGACCTTCATGACAATTGATAGATGCCTGGGAGGTTGAAGGCGGAGCTAGAGTATCCCATACAACTACGTTCGCACCACTTGAGCTATATCCTGAAGCTGCAACAATGGATCCACTCGAACTAATATATTCTACATCTCTGCAACCATAATAACAGAAACGGCATAGCTGAAGCTAATGTTCTCAGTAGAACATGAAACAGAGAAAAACTGGTAATTTTCATGATTGGGAGAAATATTTCCAAACTTGGGTCTTTATAGTATATCAGTGAACAAGAAGTTAAAGATCACGAAACGTACGATGCATGGCCATTGAAGCAAAGAGATGATTCAACAGGATGGATATTGCTTCTTCCTCCAACTTCTGATTGCCAAGTGCATACAGTTCCATCCAGTGCAGCGCTAGCAAATCTGTGTCCGCATGGACCGAATTGCACTGCTGATATAGACGCCAAAGCATATGGAGGAGGAACATTTGCAGCAGGCAGAACACCGTAAGTTGCAGTGGCTCTCTCTTTTTCAAACTGCAAGATGTAAGGTTGCATTATAAAACCCACAAGAATATATAACAAATGTCATATCAATTACTTTTCACTACTAAGACACTGAGTACGTAAAAGAATTCAACAATCAATAGAGGCTCATAGAAGTTATATGAAATGTCTTATCATTCATTCCTCACTCCTCAACCAGATGGTGCAAGTTTAAGGCCCATACCTCCCACAAGTAAATGTGTGTGTTGCTCGAGCCAACCAAGAAGAGAGGCAATGTTGGGTGACTAGAGAATGCTCTCGTAACAACAGTTTCAACTGTTGGAGGAGGATCAACAAACTGTTCAAAGTCCTCTTGAGTTTCCCAACCTAGACCAGAGACTCCTAAGCCGGTGTAACCCGGAACTCTGTGAGATTTACCAGGCTTGGAAAGAGAAACAACTCCAACAGTGGCCCCCCCTAACCCAAGGTGTGCTCCTTTCTTGTCCCCAAGACCAACACCAAGAGAGACATATGTTGGAACCGGAGTTGACTCAGAGTTAGCCCAACCATTATGTGGCCAGTCAGCATTTGACCAGATATAGTCTGACTGGTTTATGCAGGAACCACCATCTTCTAGCTTAAAGAAAATTATGCCCTGCATGTCACAGAATGCACATTTAGGGATGTATTTATGTACGATGCCACATTACCACTAAGCATAAGAAAAATTTGTTTATGCCTGATGCCACATCAACACTAAGCATAGGAAGACACTGCAACAACAAAATAACAACAAATAGAAACTTTATCTGAAATTTGTCTCGAGATGCCGATGCAGGATACATATAAAAGATATATGGAGGTTTTCCAGGATTCAGACTCATCTTTGCATTAGTCAAAGTTTTGGTACATAGCATATGGCAGCTTACAATGAATTATGAAATTCACAAAAGTAAAGATAGAACAAGTGCTAAAGGCAAACTACGACAATAACTGACCTTGCGGTTGCTAGCTAATGCAGCTTGCCGATGGTTGATGGCATTGATACAAAGGGCCTGTTAGAAAGATAAGCATACTCGATCACGAAAGATATCAGTAACTTATAGTGAATGTAAGAAAAAGAATTACCTCTATAAGCTCCCCGGTCCTCTTATGGATTTCTTTGGGATTCTGGAAAGCAGAGTTATCACTGGCAGTTACCGCAGCTTTCTGTGAAGAATTTGAAGAGTAGCTTGCAAGCGAAGCCACTTCATTACTACTCCGACCATCTTGATTGCACAACATATTGAGCTCATTCTTCCTGGTAAGTTCTCTGTACATATCGCTCCAATCATCCAGTGGTTTGGATTTTGACCACTCAGATATGTCAAAATTTTCTAGCAAGATAGCCTCGTACAGTAAATGAGGATCAACACAAAGCTTCCAGAACCTCACAGAAACAGCTAGGTCACCATTGTCTTCATTCTCTATACCTGCATCTGGGGGATCTCGATTAAGAAACTTTGCTTGAGATCTGCCACATTCAAGTAACCATAACAAGGTAGGAACCTGAGTTCTCTTCTCTATTTTCTGTTTCAAGACCAATACTAGTTGTTTGACATGATAGGAAGAGAGTTGGGCAAGAGTGCTAATCAGTGTATTTCCCAGAACAGACATTATCTTCTCTGTTACGAATACAATGTCAGCACTGGAGTCCAATGCTGCCTGAGCACCAAAATTCTCAGAGGAACAGCTATTCGAGATAACACCATCTAGATTGATCGAAATAGATACCAGCTTATGTTTCACAAAGTCTGAAACATGCTTCCAAAAGCATGCTTGCGTTATAAGACGTCTTTCATCTTCTGGAATTGAGTCCACTGGATAGCCAAATTCGTTATTTTCAACATCTCTGCTGACCTTAGAATTAACTTCTACATCTGATGCATCTAGAACACTAACAGAGGCTTCCTGGTGGTATACTCTCTTCACGCTTTCCAGGTCAACCTCATGAGGCATCTGCCCATGAAAATATGCTATGGTAAGGGGCTGAACCATTCTGAAGAGACAATTTACATCCCCCAAAACCCAAGCTATTGCGAGTCTCGAACAATATTCGACTAAATCAAGAACAACTGCGAGTCTTGTTTCCAAGTCTTCCACAGAGGAGCCCAAGCACAGGCTAATAGATGTTCTCAAACTAGAGAACGATTCCAAAATTCCCTGAAAGTAAAGACGCAAAGCATTGGACCACTTTGGTTCAGGTCCAGGTGACACCTTATTTTCCTCAAAGCATGGCACTGAGTGTAAGCAAGTGACACTGCACGCAGCAATGATACGTGATAATACAGATGATTTCTCTTCAATCGCTTTTAGAACCAATTTTGGTAAAGCTGAATATTGGAGAAGATTTTCATCTATGTGAGACTTGTCGTCTGAGAGTCCTGAGGAACTATTTTCCTGAAATATATTGTGTCCCATGGATAGTAACCCACGGCTGTAGGCTGACAAAATAACCTGACAATAGAAAACAAAAAATCAGATTACACATAACAATCAAAGTATCTGCATTGTCAAATTAGTCTAACTAAGAAATCTTATATGATGTCCAAGTATTAGTAGTGGAAACCACATACCATATCACGTAGGTAAGATGAAGACAGCGAAAACCTCAGGTAAAATTGCTCCAAAGCTGTTTGTAGAGTATGCTGAAATCGTGAGAGTTTCTCACACGAAACAGTATCAGAATTCATTAACGGTGCAGTTGCTACCCATAAGAGCCTCGAGAGGAACTGAACGGCTAAACCCAATTTAAAATGAGTGTCCAAAGTAGATGAAACACCGCTTGATACCCAATTCGACGAATGAGGGACACAATGCTCAAAAACACCTTGCGGGGTACACAGCTGACCGTTACTTGGAACGCTTGTCTGATGGGTACCACCACGACCAACGCCAGATGCTGAAAGACATTCCAACGCCTCGAGCTAACAATTTTAAAAGAAGATAAATTCAGATTTTACGGCACAGAAATTAAAAAACATCAAATTCTACAGGATATACTCCATCGTGAGGAAATTACAGATAAAAAAAAAATATTTTATGCTAAAACGACTTTGTTAAAAAAAGGTAGTTCCCTTCCCTAAAAACTATGTTTTTAGCTTTTAACATGGTGCTTCGGTGGAAACATGTAATTTATGCAAGAAGTACTCTAAATCCTATGTCATTTGCAAGCACACAGCATGTTATAGTTGCTTATATAACTTACCGGGAGGCCACATCTGCTGAAAGCGTTAGCAGCCATTAAGGTTGCCCATCTACTAATTGTTGAAGCACTTCTTTCCCCCAGTGTGTTCTTCACACTATTTTTGGTTGCCAACATGAGGCAGTATAGGCCAATACTAGGATCCACAAAAGAGATGTGATTTGCAGAAACGGTAGAACTCCCAGTAACAGAGTTCCCTAGACATCCAGCCATAGCAAGAATCGACTGGTGGTACTCTCCTAATTCCCACTGTATAAACAAGGGACAGCTTCATAGTCATAATTTGTAAAACCAAGCAAGGAAAGTAAAAGTATTTGCAAGCAATTATAATAACCTGAAGAAGGCTTAATAGCCAAAAGTCTCCTCTCTGAACAGCAGATGGAAGTATATATTTCTTTATAAGATTACTTTCCAGGGCCCCACCTTGACCATCAACAAGCCGGCAAATTACGAGCGCAAGCTGCTCATCCTGAAGATTTTTCACACAAACATTTATGGCAGATGAGGCTTCACCTCCAAGGAGAAAGAAACCTATCGCCAGCTCCAGTTGGTGTTTACCCATTAGCACATACGCATTTTTCAAGGCTGCTGCCTTGTTTTTCTCCTCCTGTACGAAAAGATGCACTCAAATTAGGAGACGTGTCACTCATTGATATCCTAGATGCCTTAAGTCGTATGGAAAAAGGTGAAAAGGAACGTATCATCCCAATAAAAATATGGTTTGTACCAAATACCTGAAAATTGCGTGAAAGAAAAACAACCAAGGGTTTATCTTTCTCATCCTTGCTTAATTTGAAAAGACCAGCCAAAACTTGAACTCTATTTAAAGCTATATAGAGAAGCGCACAATCTTTAGGATTCTTTTTCTTCAAGTATTGCTGTCGGGCCAGTTTCTCCATCTACAAAAGGAAATAGCATCATATTTAGTGAGGCACATCTATTTCTTTTACCCTCTGTTCGTTGGTATCAAAGATAATATCATTAAAGAAAGAAAAGCAAGCATAAATAGAAGGCGTATTAATACAAGGGTTCTTGCATAGCTAGTTTGAACCAAGCATTATATTTTAAAACTTACTCGTGAACGCAGTTGTGCTACATTTGAATACCAAAATCCAAATCCCAGTGATCGCATTTGTTGCCATGATGATTCATTAGGTAAAAGAGAACCAGATAAAATCTCTTTAGACTCTGAGTGAAAAGCCCATCCTATCATGCTAGAGTCAATATCCAACTCTTCCAAAGATGCTGTTTTCCCAGAACTTCGAGCCAAGAATAGCTGTTTAAACCTAAGTGTGACCCAAAATCTACACAGCAGAAAGAACAAAAAGATCCATGAATACCAATCAGCATAAAGTATCATTCATGAAGCAAAGCAAAAAAAACTTCCCCTGTGCTACAATACCCTCTGATCAATATTTTGCAAATAATGTAACTTAAGAAGCCACAAACGTGCTAGAAGTTATTTCTTGAATAAGGGACCAATCTGGCCTTGCTAATTGAACATTATTGTTATCTTTTAGTATTTACCAGTTAACAAAGAAATCGAACATACTTGATGGAACATATTCTTAAAAACTCTATATTTAATTGGTCTTCAGTAACTACAATTACAAAAATTCGAAGAATCATTGTACCTTCTGCCAGCTTCATCAAGACTTGCATAGACAGATGTAGAATGTGGGTTACTAATTTCACAAAGAAGGTCAACAATTGCAAAATATTGCAATTTTTCTATCCTTGAAATATTTCCACCATCTGATAACTTCTTCAGCTGCTCACAGAAGCCACTAAAATCCAAGTCTGTTGCAGGTGAACTGTAACTACTGTTGGGATTATAAGAATCCATATTAAAGAAACCAGATGACTGCAACCCTGACTGCAACTGTGAACCAGATGTCCCACCCCATTGGAAATCCTTAGGATTTCGGTCATTGGAAAGAGACCCTTCATAATACATTGACAAAAGGACATCTGGACAAAGAACAGACTTTAAAGCACCCTTCTCGGAGGCATCAGTTGAAGTGATACATTCAGCAAGATGCCTTAGAGCTGTGCTTGCTCGTTTCCAATTGCCTGAACACATCAGAGTTAACAATCTTAGCTAAGGTGAAATTAACCGCATGACACAGGTTATGCTCCTGCACGAAGGAAAAATAAGAAAGGAAAGCTAAATAAAAGCTAAACAGCTTAGTTTCAGAACTGATTGAAGAAGGGGAAAACAGAAAACATTTGCAGCATTTCACCTGAATGTATAGCTACAAGGAGGGCTTGTGGGTGATAAAGCGGTAAGGCACCTCCTAACTTATCCACCATGCGTTCCATGCTCGTAATGTCAGTACTAGTATCTGAACCATATGCGGTTCCAATCAACGACATACTAGTGACTTGCCTGTCATCAATTGCATTACTAGTTGAAGGTAGAGGAATACATCCTCTGCTAATAGATGCAGTATCAGCTTCTTTGATATCATTAGTACCAGAATCAGATAACAATTTAGAGTCTCTACCTTCTTTTGTAGCAGTTACTAAGTTGGGAAGATTGGCTGCAAATATGTGTGGTAGGTTATCTATCCTTTGTTTCTCATCAACAACAGCCAGCCATTGACCATGTAGACTAATAAAATCATTATGAACAAGGCAAGTCATGGCTTTAGATCCCCACCATAAATCGCGAAAAACAGAAAATGTACGAGTAACAGCGAAGCATTGCCAAATCTGTGCCTCTAAAGAATAATCAGCGACCGCAAAACTGGTACTTTTGCAAGGCTGCCGAGGAGTACCATACACCCGCATCTCCTTTTGTGTGCAAACTCCAAGCAATAGCTGATCATTACCCGTAGATGACCATTTTACTGCAACAACCTCTGCATCCAAATGTAACGTATGCTCTAGTATGAAAACCCCTGAATCTATAAGGTGTATAATCTCCCATATACTAATTGCGCAGGCAGCTTTGGAATGATTCTCTGTACAGACGGCTGCTATCTTGTGTCCCGCATCAGTTAGAGATATAGCACTGACAGGATTTTGGCCAATGGTAAGCATGCCAACAAGCTCCCACGAAAGGGAAGGTGTTGAACTTTCCTGAAAACTACTTCTCCAAAGTTTTAAAGAGCCATCAGCTAGACCAGTTGCCATAGTATAATCTTTATTTTCGCTGTTCACGTCATTCTCTAGAGCCCTACCACTTGGATTGACCACAGCAAAACTCGTAACTTCATCATCACGGTGAGATTCAGGTATTTCTGAAGAGCATGATCTAATAGCAATGCAATTCGTCTTACCAGCAAAAGTATCTTTGAATAACCACTTTCCCAGTCCAGTACAATCAAAATCATGAAAATGACAATCGCAGGTGCTTCCTGCTGCATCAAAATGATGCAAGGTCACGCTCCATGACAGAGCATCAAACCGTTTCTCTTTCATCGATACACTCATCAGCAAAAACCTGTTACTTTTGAATGTCTTCCCACAAGAATTAGACAGAGCTCTCGCAAATATGCTGGTCGGACCACTCTGCAAAGGGCTCTTTACTGCAAACGGTATGGTACATATGTAATGGGTTAGATAACCATCATCATCTTTCCCACAATTTCTTACACTAAAGCAATCAACCCCTCCTACATGTCCCACAAGTAGAAATCTCTCATCTTTCAATGACGAAGGTGCCCAGCATAAACATGTATACTTAAATCTTAAATCTTGTTTCTGTAGCCGTCCACAAGGTTTCCAAGAGGAAACTGATATAGGATGGTCAATGGCACGGTTCAAATAAGCACTAGAAGACCATATTATTATCAAACCATTAGAATCCAGGGAAGCAGTGTATCCCACCTCACATTTGAAAGGATCAAAGGCAACCTGTAGGATTTTCCCACCATGACCATCGAGATATAATACTTTTCCAGTAATGCACTTCAATAAACTGGATTTATTAGGGGATGAATTTTCTGAGTCATGTGATTTTATTGTGTGCAAGGAAGACCAATACACAGTATTCTCCGGAGATAGATAAATCGACGAGCATATTAGTGGTGTGCCAAAAAGGTTATTTCTCAATAGAGAAACTTTCTTAAGGGGTAATCGATCAGAAGAACCAGCAGCATCCGCTAGAGAGAGTGATCCTGAACCAATTTCATTTGATTCTTGTCTCGCCCACAATGTTACTCGGGGAAACCTTATAGGAGAGATGTCATCAAGACAATGGACAGCCCACAGAGTAGCCAACTTTCCAGGGCCGTACCCCACCAACCACTCACATTTTCCAACTATCTCTTGATCATAATTTTCCATAGAAAAAAATTGATTAGTACCTTCAATGGTTTTCAATATACCCCCTGTACGAGTTCCCCAAAAAATAAATAAATCTCTGCCCAAACAGCCATCCAAGACCTGATTTATCTCTATCACAGCTGCCACGCAAAATGATTTCTTATGATCAGACACATCTTTAGCGCCCTTTTTTGTCTTTCCACCATCTACCTCACTCCATAACCTTACTGCCCCATCCAAGCAACATGTCATTAGCACATTCCTCATTGAGTTCGCTATACCTATTGCAGACTGTTCTGCAGCCATCGGTCTCCACTGGATCATGGATATTCTCTGAGGATGAGGCAATTCAAGTTTATGATATGATACTCCGTCACTATAAAAGGCCAAGACACTTTTACCTGCCTCGTCACACTCAGCTGGAAACTTGCTACAAGAAGTTGCTGTCGCAAAAGGACCCTCAAACGACCAGGTGGAGGAAACCAGATCTTGAAGGTGATCCCCCGAGAACTTCCAAGCTATTTCCCAAGATTGGTTCCTTCTCTTCCACAAGACAATATCAGTTCCACCAACTATGATCCCATCCCCGGATCCTGTCCACTCAATGGCCTCAACATTTGTTTCTTGCACCAATATGGCATTCTGACTCCAACAAAAAGAACCTGAATATGAGTAGAGACATACATATTTAAGATATCCAAACTAAACTGGGAGATGAAATACACATATTATATCACTTTACAATGGATTTTTCCTTAACCAGTAAGATGGATAACAATTCTCTCGTAACTCAATGGCATCACAAACCAGACCACTTGCTCAGAAACTAAACCCCAGAGAATGAAGAACAACCAGCTCTATGTCGAGGCTTACCATTCAAATCAAGCGCACAGAGGTAGATAAAGTTCCCAGACCCAACAGCGAGCTCGCCTACAGACGGCGTTACAGGAGACCAAGACACGGAAGTAACTGGAGACGAAACATCGCCGGAAATCTCTAGAATCTGACGGAAAAATGGTGCGTTCGTAGAATCTTCGCCGCGGAGAGGAGAAGGTAGATGAGAGATAACGAGGAGAGTGGATGCCCCGTAAGCAAGCCATGAGTAACCAGCGAAGTCGGGAAGCCAGTCAATAGTAGACTGAGATCGAGTCGGAGCCGGTGGAACGATGTCCGATCTGAGTTGCCGGAGAGGCAAATTATCGATCGGATCCGTGACCGGTGAGATCGCGTCGTGACTCGTCTCCGGCATAATCACGGGTTTTAACGGAAAACACAAATCTTAGACCAAAAGTATATTATTTCCGTTTGCAACTTACCAGCAGACTAAGCAGAGGATCATCGAACTTCCGTCTAGGCCAGAAGGTTCACCTCGAGACTGTCTCTCACTTAGGCCCATATCTCATCTGGGCCCATATACTGTATTATTTTCTTATTCCTTTGAATTCTTTTGAACGACCCATTTTCAAGTGTTATTGTCTGTGTGTATCAAGAACATATATCTTTTTAAATAACTAAGATATTTTATGTGTAAGCATGATGAATGATGATTTCTCGTCTATGTATTTCACAAATAGAAGGTGAAAAGGATGGTTAGCTACCTCGGGAAAGAGCTTCACAAATAGACGTACTATAGTTTTCACACAAATAAAAAGTATTTTTTCACACAAATAAAAAGTCATTATCGAATTTCTTATAAAGGATTCCTATTATATAAACGAAGGAGCAGATTGGCATCGATTACATAAAACTATGTTTTCTATTCGTGCATGATTTGGAAGAATTTTAATATGTTAAAACTCAACATTGTGAATCAGTCAAAACATAATCAGCGACCATCTTCATGCAAAGCAACGCATTAAATTCAGTTACCTTTCGAGTATGAAAAATATGAGTAGGTCAAAATTCGAATCAATCATCATGTTCCAATCTTAAAAAAAAAAAAAAAATCTCAAATAGGATGAGTATTTGGCAAGTTAAGGCGTGCACAAACTTTGATGATGACGCCACCAATAAAGAATTAAGACCATTCAAACATCCGACCAAGAAACTTGATCCCTTCTTACTCTTTCTTGTTTCTTTCTCTTTTAACACTCTCAAAATACCAACACGACCCTACTAAACACTCTCTTAATGATGCTGAATCATGCACCTCACTTATCCTGGCTAATCCCAAAACTCGTATGTTATTCCAATATATGACGACAGGTCAAAAGAAATAGTCACCAGGTCGGTTCCACTAAAGCCTGACGAAGAAAGTTGCTTGGTAGTCTTGGTGAAAACTGGGTTGGTCCAGATCAGTCAGCAGTTTCACAAGTTTGGTAGAGAATCCTGCATCATAATATATAAAGCTTTTACTGATTTAAAATCAAAGTGCAGACACTAATTAACAGTATATTTCTCCTTTTTTAACCCTTTTAGAGTAACTCGTGTGTTACCTTCAATCTCACGCTGGGGTCAAGAAACAAGTCACGCCTTCCCAACACCTTATAATCACTAATGTCTCTGTTTCCAACTCTCTCCAAATCATGAAACTTTTTCTCAAACCTATATATTATATTTCCTATCTTTTGCCTTCAAACACTATAAATTCAGTTGCATAAATCAGTACCATTCAACCTCAAAACTCTGTGTCTCTTTCCATTCAAGATGACCAATTCAGCTGTCCCGTCCTTGTTCCAGCTTAGCTTTTTCTTGTTCACTCTTCAAGTAATGATTGTTAGCAGGATTAGCGCTGCAACTAGGTTCTACCAATTCAAGGTATCAGCAACGTAAATGTTATCTCAGTATCCAAATTTTGAATGAAAATGGAACACATATTTCATTTCATGCATGCCTTTTTGGTCTATCTTCACTGCATTCAGATATCTAAAAAGAGGTAAACAGAGGTCTGTTGTGTCACTAAATTTTCTAACAGGTACAAACAAAAACACTTACAAGGCTATGCCAAACAAAAGAGATTGTAACAGTGAACGGGAAATTCCCTGGCCCTACAATATCCGCTCAAGAAGATGACAGAATTGTCGTTGAAGTCATCAACATGACCCCCTATAACACCACAATTCATTGGTATGTCGATATACTCATATGCATATACTCATGTACATAATATATAAATGCTTATAAGACAAATTCTAGACTAAAAACCTGTTTCTACTCTGCCCAGGCATGGTATTAAGCAAAAACTATCATGTTGGTATGATGGTCCATCTTATATCACACAATGTCCAATTCAAAGTGGACAAAGTTTCACATACAACTTCACAGTGGCACAACAAAAGGGCACCTTTTTATGGCATGCACACTTTTCTTGGCTTAGGGCTACAGTTTATGGTCCGCTTATTGTATATCCTAAATCATCTGTTCCTTACCCATTCAAGAAACCCTTTAACGAGCATACAATTCTCCTAGGTAATTTTTATTCTTGATAAAGTTAGTCTATTTCACTAAGTGGTTTCACTGAATTTGTTTTCCTCTTGATAAATCTAGGAGAGTATTGGCTTAAGAACGTGGTAGAGCTGGAACAAAATGTACTGGAGAGTGGAGGACCTCCGCCTCCAGCAGATGCATTCACAATTAATGGTCAACCAGGACCTAACTACAATTGCTCCTCTAATGGTAAATATCAGATGAACAATAGTATGATTGGTATATATGGAGAAAACAGATCATAGAACCTTTTTCTATCTTTATATTTCAGATGTTTATAAGATTAAGATAATGCCAAGGAAGACGTACCTACTAAGGCTGATAAATGCTGGCATTAACATGGAGACCTTCTTCACCATAGCTAATCACAAATTGACCATAGTGGAAGTAGATGGTGAGTACACCAAACCATTTGCAACAGAGCGTGTGATGCTTGTACCTGGGCAGACAATGAACGTTCTTGTCACAGCTGATCAAGCCGTTGGGAGATACTACATCGCCATGGGTCCGTATGAGTCTGCAAAGAACGTCAAGTTTCAAAACATATCAGCAACAGCTAATTTCCAATACATTGGTGCATTGCCTAACAGTGTAACAGTACCAGCCAAATTACCTATGTTTAATGATAATATTGCTGTTAAGACTGTCATGGATGGGCTCAGAAGTCTAAATGCAGTTGATGTTCCAAGAAATGTTGACGCTCATCTCTTCATCACAATCGGGATAAACGTAAACAAGTGTAACTCTGAAAATCCAAACAACAAGTGCCAAGGTCCCAGAAAAGGACGACTAGCAGCTTCAATGAACAACATCAGCTTCGTCGAACCTAAAGTCTCGATCTTGGAAGCTTATTACAAGCAACTGGAAGGTTACTTCACTTTAGATTTCCCAACCACGCCGGAGAAAACTTATGACTTTGTCAATGGGGCGCCCAATGACATAGCCAATGACACTCAGGCTGCAAATGGGACCAGAGCAATAGTTTTCGAGTATGGGAGCAGGATACAAATCATCTTCCAGAATACTGGCACACTCACAACAGAAAATCATCCAATTCATCTTCATGGACACAGCTTTTATGTTATCGGCTATGGAACAGGTAACTATGATCAACAAACAGCACAATTTAACCTGGAGGATCCTCCATACTTGAACACTATAGGAGTCCCAGTAGGAGGATGGGCCGCAATTCGTTTTGTTGCCAACAATCCAGGTATTCTCTTACAAAAAAACTCCTTACATCACAACACACATTACATTTTCTGATAAATTCTTCCTTTTATAATGAATAGGCCTCTGGTTATTGCATTGTCATTTCGACATACATCAAACATGGGGAATGAGCACGATGTTTATAGTGAAAAATGGCAAGAAGGTGCAGGAGAGTCTGCCTCATCCTCCTACAGATCTACCAAAGTGCTAGCTTAATTGAAATTAACAAATGGTGACAGGGAACTAGTTTCCAGAGGAAGAATTTTTTTGCAACAACCACAGGAAGAGAAGTACTCGCTTCTATTTTCCTTGCTCTTATTCATTATTCTAGAGCATATGAAATGTCATTCAAAGGGATAGAGAATATGGTATAGACGAAAAAGATTCAGATTCTTTTATTCAGATTTTTTAATATGATCTAACCCCAAAAAAAAAAAAAACAAAGATTGTCTCACGCTAGAAAGCCAAGAGTAAAAAGTAAAAGTATTATGAATTGCTACAAACTGGCGTATCACACAAGGGAAATCCACAAACATAAATAAGAAATTCTTTAATCACCCTATTAGACATTAAAAGTTAATTATGGGTTAACCTTTTCTGAAGTCCAGCACTTTTCTCCTGTTCCACTAGCCGTCGACGAAAACAAAAGCCTCTGATTGCTTTTCAGATTCAAGTAATCAACCTGTCATTAAGGGAAATCATTCATGGAAAACCTGCTTCTACGTAGGGGACAACTTAAGAAAGAAAGTTGAAAAACAAAAAACAAAAAAAAAAACAAAACCTCTTGTGGCTCTAGAAGCATAAGGCAGTACTCAGGAACTGGACCACTTGAGGGATCTAATTTAACTTCTTGGCTTGGTTGCTCACTGTTGTAAGGACTACCAGGAGTAGGACAAATGTAGATAAGCCTTGACCTCAAGGAATTAGCAAACCAAGCTTTCTCTCTTTGCTATATACATGGAGCAATCAAAATCAAAACGATAAACACCAAAAAACTGTTTCTCCCATTCAAAGATAGTACTAAATAGTTACAGAGAGTTATAAGGTTTAAAGATGTATTTCCAACCTGAAGCTTAGTCTGGTCAGGATTCGACGCATCAATGACCTCAATTCTTCCATTGATCCGGAATTGCTCCCAAGTATCCGAGAAATACCAACATATCTTGAAAAGAAAAAACACCATAATAGAATTAACTCGTGATTAAAATCGACCTAAAATAAATTGCTTACCTCAGAAAAAGGACAATGCTTAAGCTCTTCAATCTGCAACAAAAATGCAGAAATTTTTCAGGATCAAAGAGAGCTTTTGAAAAATATCTGCAAGTAGCATAAACAAACAAAGTTTGGAAAATTCATAAGACCTTACGACTACGAAGATCGGTGTTGATTTGAATTCTATCACCGTTCTCTTCAAATCCCCTAAAAAACACCAACAAAAATTGTTCACTACCTGACAAGAATCATAATACAACTAAACCCAGAAATATCACGCATTCATAGATCACCTGAATACAACAGTACGATTCGAAGGCCGTCCGTTTAAACCAATCGTCGCCTGAAACACACACACACACACACACACACAAAATCATCAACAAATTGAGAGAAAATAAAAAATATATATATTAAAAAAAAAAGATGAGAAAGAAGAAGAAGAAGAAACATACGAGCTGAAGGTAAGAAGAGTGGGTTAGATGAGAATTAGCCTCAATGGCACCAAAGAGCAGCTGCTTCCATGGCGCCACAGTTGTTCCCATCGTCTTCTTATCACTTTCTTCCGAGTTCCGACTTGTGTGTGCCATGTTAGCGATGGAAACTTGTGTATTGGATCATCCCCCACCACAGCAAAAACGGTGTCGTGTTGGTTGTTTAGTGTTATCGGGCCTATTGAGCCATAATTTGTATTGGGCTTGCCGTATCTATTAAACAATTAAAACTCAAAACAGATAAAAGGAAAATTACAAATACTTGCTAACCGACTTAAGTGACAAGTGGCAACTGGCAAGTCGTTAAAGTAAAACGGCAGGCAAGGGAAAGCTGAAACAGTAAAACGACACGAGTAGATGGAGAGAGAGATATTTTTATTGGGTGGGGGAAGGTGTTGGGTAAGAGAAGACAGATGTCAACATCAGCTAAGAAAATTAAAAAAAAAAAAAAAAAACTAGAACAGTATCTTAAAGATTATTATTTGTATTTTTGTAAGAAATATAAATAAAATAAAATTAAAACTCAATCACGCCATGAATTGTGGGACCCAGCTCCACCTCCTTTTTGTCGCTTCCTGTCGGTCTTCTCTTTTTTTTTTTTTTTTTTTTTTTTAATAATTCTTCATCTTCTTCTTCGTCTCTCCCTCGTCCTCTTTTTCAAAATTCTCCTCCTCGAAAATTCCAAATAGATGCAATCTCTTTACTTTATATATTTTATTTACAAACCTTTCTATCACTTGGATTTCTTTTTAGTTTATTATTCGTTGTATAATTGTAGCGATTGCCGATATGAATCTATGAATTGATGTAAAGTAGTCAAATTCATTCATTACAACAATAAAGCATGTTTCTTCGTTTTTTTTTCTTTCCTAAACGGATTATTTTTTGTTGCTTTATCGCTCATGTAGAATCATTTACAACCTAGATGGTTCACACGGTTTTTATTATACTTCTCATGAATTTTCCGTGTACATATTATATATATCACAGTATATAGTATAGTTTTAATATAAGATGTTTGATCTTTATCACTTTTAATTAAAATCATATTTCACTTTAGATATGTATGATGTAATGACATCTGAAAAGCTAAGGTAATAGACTTCAATGTAACTAGATATTGGTGTTGTTTGGTAACATTATGTTATGTCGTAATCATTATAAACAAAATGAATTATAGATTGACATAATTCTGTTTTTTTTTTGTCTTTTAGATATTCGATTGCAAAGGTGTGTTAGTGAACTACAAAATAAAGACTTATAAAAACATGATGATCAATATTCTTTTTTAAGTTTTGGATTTTTTAAACCATTGACGAAACTCATCGGTTACTTACACAAAACGGAGATCGTACCAGTTATATATTATTGAATACTGATAATAGTAAAGTTTTTTTTAAAGTCGAGCTAAATTTAGGTGTCAAAAGCCACTAATCACATGTACGCAAGACATGTGGTGTATATACATATAGGTATGGTATTGGGATTTTAAAAATCTAGCTAGGCGATTTGATGGACCATATGGCCAACAAATAGTATCCAATCACAAAATGGGAGGCCGAGAAATAGCTTACAACTCATAGTTCCACTCACACTATGCATTGCATTATGATACACACAAAGAGTTTTATATCCATTTTCACAAATATACATTATTTTAGCAAGAGGACATCATTCCTTACACACGATTTTTCTCTCTTAGAAAAGTATATTTTTTTTTTTTTTTTATGAGGGACCAGAAAGAGCTAGCAAGAGAGAGCGGTCACGAGACATCATCACTAGTCAAAATCAACAAACCCAACTTTTCTTTTTTTCCAACTTTTAATCTTTTTATAACCGAAATTTTCATAAAAGTTTAGTCCATTTTTTTCTCCCGAATTAGACGGATGAAATTATGAAATTACAAAACATAAATATAATATCTGAATCTACATTCTTTTCATGTTGAAAATCCTAGCTATAATGGCATAACAAATACTATTCCAACCTCATATCTATATCCAAAAAAAAATATGTTAGTAAATAATAAGTAAGTCTCTTCTATATATTAGACAGGTATTTATCTGTCTATTGATTAAATCATATTTAAACTATAGGTTTAGTAGAACCGAATGTTTGTACTCCATACACATCTTCAGTATAAGTATAGTAGCTATATTCTCTTAGATAATAAGTTAAAATTTGGGTTCTTCTCTTCTCCGTCTTCTTCGCTGGCTCTTTTTCATCACCCATAAAGTGAAAGGCAACGCATAGAAGAGCCATCACTCACAAACAAAGAAAAGGCAAAAAAAAAAAAAAAAAAAAAAAGTTCTCCAAAAACATTCTTCTCTTTGGCCTTTACTCAAAACCCACACACACATATATCTCTCTCTCTCTCTCTCTGGCTTTCTCTTTGTCGGAAGTCATGGACGCTACGAAGTGGACACAGGTGCTTAAAAGATCTTCCTTTGACACTTCTCTTTTGTTTCTTCTTCTTCTTCTTCTTCTTAACTACTTCCTCCTTTTTCTCTCTTTTCTTTCTCTTACCTTCCTCCATGATCCGTGAAATTTTTCATACTTAATCATATGCATCATATATATCATTATTTCTCTGTCCTCATGTGCTCTTATATAAATAGATGAATAATTTGTGGTTATGGAGAATGGAGATTTGTGTATTTAAGATTTTGTGCACATATATTTCAATAATTTGCATGGGAATACTATTAGTAGTATTTTTGTAGGTTTCGAGGTCGGAAAGAAAAAAATTAGAAAGATGTTATAGGGCAGCTCACGGCACTTTTTCTCAGCCTTTTCATGTAATTAATCATTAATTAGATTTGAGAAACTAATTAAGATATTAAAAGAAAGTCATGATTTGTTATTTACCCTTTGTTCTTGGTGTTCATCTCTTTTCCTTTTTCCACCAAATCATGTATACATATATAGTTCTGTATATATCAAACAAGGAAAAATCTAATGTGCATGTTTCATATGTATATATCTCAGTTTAATTAGTGCTTAGAATTGCAAATTTTAGGGGGAAGTAATCATGTGTTTAATGTCTTAATTAATTAGTTTATTATTTAACTTATGAGTCCTTATGTGTGTTCAAATTAAGCTCTAATTAACTATTTAAAAATCATTTTCTAGGGTTTTCAAGAAATGATGAACGTAAAACCAATGGAGCAGATCATGATTCCCAATAGCAGCACACATCAATCAAACACAACATCTAATGCAAGACCAAACACCATTCTCTCATCTAACGGTGTCTCAGCCGCTGGAGCCCCCGTCTCCGGCGTAAGCAACAACAATAACAATACGGCGGTTGTGGCGGAGAGGAAAGCAAGACCACTAGAGAAACTAAATTGTCCAAGATGTAACTCAACCAACACAAAGTTTTGTTACTACAACAACTATAGTCTCACACAACCAAGATACTTTTGTAAAGGTTGTCGAAGGTATTGGACCGAAGGTGGATCTCTTAGGAATGTTCCTGTGGGGGGAAGCTCAAGAAAGAACAAGAGATCAACTTCTTCTTCCTCATCCAACATTCTTCAAACGATGCCATCTTCACTTGGTTTGACCACAACACTTCCAGATCTAAACCCACCAATTCTCTTCTCCAACCAAATCCCTAATAAATCAAAAGGGTCATCGCAAGATCTCAACTTGTTGTCTTTCCCCGTCATGCAAGATCATCATCATCATGTTCATATGTCTCAGTTTCTTCAGATGCCGAAGATGGAGGGAAATGGTAACATAACTCATCAGCAGCCTTCATCATCTTCTTCTCTCTATGGCTCCTCGTCGTCTCCTGTTTCAGCTCTTGAGCTTTTAAGAACCGGAGTTAATGTTTCCTCAAGATCAGGGATCAACTCATTCATGCCTCCCGGTCCAATGATGGATTCAAACACTGTGCTCTACACTTCTTCAGGTTTTCCAACAATGGTGGATTACAAGCCAAGTAATCTCTCCTTCTCTACTGATCACCAAGGGCTTGGACATAACAGCAACAACAACAACAGGTCCGAAGCTCATAATGATCATCATCAGGAAGGTAGAGTTTTGTTTCCATTTGGGGATCAGATGAAGGAGCTTTCGTCAAGCATAACACAAGAAGTTGATCATGATGATAATCAACAGCAGAAGAGTCATGGAAATCATAATAATAATAATCCAAGCCCTACTAATGGATATTGGAGTGGGATGTTCAGTACTACAGGAGGAGGATCTTCATGGTGAAGCAAAATGATCAAAAAGGAGATTATGAAATTAGCTTTCTAATTCTCTTTCATGATCTTTTGCCTCACATGGGTTACTTTAGTTAAAGTTGTCAGAACTTAGCTAACACAACATAGTCTTTTTATTCTACTTTCTTTTTGGGTTTTTTTTTTAAAAAATTTGGTTTAAATTAATATTTATTATTTTCTAAATGTTTTTATAGTTGGGTTTGATGGTAATTTGGGTTGGGTCTTTTTTTTCTTTCATTTTGGTTTGTTGATGAAGTAGTATATAAATCACGGCGTTGTGTATGGGTAGAAGAATATGTGAATACGAATCTCCCGAGTGTTGTTACATGGGTGGGTATGTAACTAATGTATTCATCGCTTCTTCTAACTGTACGTATAAGTGGTTTCGTTACAGATTTTATTCATATAAATATTCTCGATTTATAAGTTAGTGTGATGAACACTTTAAATCGAATGTTGCTTGGGAGATTAATAACGAAATTATCCTGTATAACAAAGAATAGTTTTCTTCAAACTCATGCACTTTGTTTTTTATATGTGATTTTTCTTTTGACATATGTTAAAATTCTTTGAAAACCAAATAACCGATTATCTAGTTTCATTAATTTTTAAAAGTAATTATATTATAATATATGAACCACATTCTATGTTTTCTTTTGATTAAAATAAAAGTCAACAACAAAGATCAATATACTTTGACTTATGGATCGTTAATATGTAGATTATTTTGTAGTGAATAAAATTTGATGTGGTTAGTGATCCATTCTAAACTGTTATTTATCGTGCGGAATCATATACGTATAGTGTTTCAAACTGTTAGTTTGGGGGAGAAATTAATTAACGAAATAGTAGTGACATCTCAAAATAGAAATTACCGTTACGTCAACTCGGTTAAGGCTTGGACGGAGGAAGAGATATTTAATTGATGCAATGTCGTTTATCACTGTCAAAATAGCATTGAAAACAAACAAGAAATCGAAAGATACGGCACAAGAAATCAAGAATACGAAACTTCTCCGAAGCTTACCTTTTGGATAAATAATATATATGTGGAGTGGGAATGCGTCGTGTTCACGGCCCATTTAGAACTTTCCACGAAACCACCTAATAATCAGCTGCTTCCGTACTCACTGACTCGCATCTATCTTGGAATGGAATCACAGCCCTTCATTATTAGAATCCAACGGCTATAGTTCAAGAGAGAGTCTTAGACCACACAGATTAGGCTCGAACGTGACATTCACATCGGTACAGATACGCCACTCACTTATATATTCCATTGGACTAATCAAATTAGTTCACCAAAATCTCTTCTCTCTCTCTCTTCTCTATCATCTTCCTCTAATGGAACCAACCGAGAAATCCATGATACTAGAAAGTACCACGAAGATGGAGACCAAATACGAAGATATGTTACCGGTTATGGCGGATAAGATGGATGTTGAAGACTTTGTATCAGAGTTATGCAAAGGTTTCAGTTTGCTTGCGGATCCACAGAGAGATCTCATCACAGCCGAGTCTCTAAGACGAAACTCAGGGATACTTGGGATTCAAGGTATGAGCAAGGAAGATGCTGAAGGAATGGTTAGAGAAGGTGACCTCGATGGAGATGGTGCTCTTAACCAAACCGAATTCTGCGTTCTCATGGTTCGGTTAAGCCCCGAGATGATGGAAGATGCACAAACTTGGCTGGAGAAAGCACTCACCCAAGAACTCTCTAATCACAATCACTCTTCTCTTCCTTGATCATCCCATCCTATCCTCCTTTCTTGTGTATTATTATCTTTCTTCTTATCAAATGTTTCTGAATATAAATGAAAGAGCTCTCTTTGATCATGAAAAACTTATATGATTTGACAGAACCCAATCTTTGATAATATTCCGATTCCAAAAGAGATCATTGTCATTATAAGAAACTACTAATACGTCTACTACACCACATATGATATGTAGCGTATACCACTCAAGTCATAAGTGGTCAAGACTCGTACTAGAAGATCTCCTTCTTCCACTAGCCGCCTACCTTTCAATCTTTCATCATCATCCCTCAAAGCATACTCAACGGAAACAACCCTATCCAATATTCTGCTGCCAAGAAAGGGAATATTACTTGGCCAATCACTATCTGTTAGATTAAAAAGGTACTAATAAGTGTGTCTGTGTGTGTGTTTTTTTATCTGTTTTGTGTACAGTCAAGGGACTTGGTTGCATCTTCCTGGGTTGCAAATCTAACAAAGCAAAATTTCGCCTAATACGAACACTACACCATATGGCTCGAAGTGTCTCTCCATATCGGACAAAGTTGATGACAAAGAGTGTCTTTTGTAGGCCTCTGATTTTGAGGCTTCCCACGTTCACCCTGAAAAACAGAAGAATGGTAATGTCATTCCCACGGATTGCATCTTCAGCAATCAGCATCACGCACATCCTCAAAATACACAAAAGGATAACCTGAAAGAAGATAAAAACACAAGATATAACAAAGCAGAGCACATAACTTGACACTCTGTTTCAGCCTACAAAGAACAAGAGTTAGTCAATGAGAAAACACATTTTCACCTATAGAAAGACAACAACATGTCAACAACGACAACAATGAAACTAAAATAAATATACAACACATGCATCGACTGTGGAGGCTGGTACATAAGATGTAGAGACGTTCCATGATGTAGTAGTGAATAAAGATGTATAGTTGTAGAATGTAGCCTATGAGAGGGTAATAAAAATAAAAACCTAATTCTTTGTTCAATTTTGAATGATTGCTTAGCCTCGCTTCACCATTCTAATGTGGTGTTCTATTTGCAGGAAGAAGTTGGCAATCCCATGAATACGACAACTCCGCTGTTAAACACAATCGCTAAGACCATCTCCAATGGTTGAACCTTATGAAGGGTTCATAACTATTTTTTAGGAATAAATTTTGGTATTTTTGAAGTTAAGAATTTCAATTGAAGTCTTTAGTTTTTTTCCCCTCCAATGGTAGGTTCTTCCTCTCCTCATCTCTCTGCTCTCTCTCTCTCTCGTTCCGGTTCCGGAACCACCGAAATAAACGACGGCAACACCACTTCCCTGAAACTGTATTCTTCATCCTTCACAAAAGCTTCCATTTCCAACCACAAAAAAGACTTAAAGTTTCGAGATTTTAATAGATTTGGTCGGGTTTTCGAATTTGGTTTCTGGGTAAGATAGAGAGATTTTGTCGGCGAAAGAGAAAGAGAAAAAAATAAAATTAACCATTTAATAATTAAAGAGTGCACAACCAATGGCTAAATGCCACGTTCTTTTAAGCACCGATGTTTAAACTCGTTAGTTTAGGAGCGACCTTTAGCTAATTAATCATTTATGATTTAATTTTAATTACATTAAATCTAACAACCCCATTATAAACCTCCCTTTGGAGGTGCCCTAACACACTCATGTTCCGTTTGAATTCTCTCAACATTCACTCTTCGAACAGTAATGCCTAAGAAGTTAAACACTACAACATAGCAAAAGGAGTACAAGTGCAAAAGCGTGTTATGGACGGCTGACGCTATCATCCAGGGCATATTTGGTATTTCTTCAGTTATCAAGTGGTTATAAACCCAGAATCTGTGCTAGCTTTTCAATTTCTTTCATAGCAAAAGAAAAAAAAAACAAAAAGCAAAACCTTATAAAACCTTCTGTACATTAAACTAAAGGACAACCACAAAGAAAAAAACAGAGTAAACATTCTCTAGTCTGCGCTTTTGTCCAGACTCTCTCAACCAATAAAACCAGCCCACGTGGCTGCTGACTCTTAAAAACGTTTTAATCACTAGCCGTCCCTGATCTCTCGTGCCACATCGAACGATCCAGATTTTCTACTACTTTTAATCCTCAACAACCCATACAGCTTCCTAAACTCTTTCACCGCCGGCGAACTCCCTCCTCCTCCACCGCCGCAAAGCGATCCACTCATATCTTCGGAGACTTCCTCCGTCGTCGCTCTTCTGGAACCGCTTTCAAGAAGCAAACGCCGTCCAGTTCCTCTGCGATCGCCATCAGTCTGCAAAGCGTTGATGACATACTTCAAAGCCCGAGTCGGCGAGTTACGATTGGCGATCATGAGCTCACCTATCTCGGCGGGGCTCAAAGACGCGCCGTTTTGGAATATTCCTTCGACTTGAGAGAAAAGCTTATGCTCTTTAACGCCCAAGTAGTTGTTAGCGAGCGTTTTAAACGCCGTGAAATCACATAAAGGGAAATGGATGTGAACGTCGACCCGACCCGGTCGAAGCATAGCCGGGTCAATTAGTTCTTTCCCAGTCATGGTAAAGACCATGATCCGTTCATCGGCGGTGCAAGAGCTGAGGATACTATCAGTAAAATTCAAAATCCCTGATAAACTCACAGCCGTTGATTTCGCCGAGAGGTACCGATCCAGATCCTCGATGACGATCACGGATTTGCCTCTCGTTTGTAAGAGAAGCATCTTAAGATCGGAATCATCCACGACTTTGGTGAGATCTATATCGTAGACATCGTAGTCCAAGAAATTCGCCATGGCCGCGACGAAGCTTGATTTTCCGGTGCCGGAAGGTCCGTAGAGGAGGTAACTCCGTTTCCAAACACGGCCGAGACGGTTATAGTACTGTTTGCCTTTGAGGAAAGATTCGAGATCGGATTTGACCTTGTTTTTAAGATCCGTTTCCATGGCGATGTTGTCAAAGGTGCAAGGGTGATCGAAGGGGATGGATCTCCACCGTCCGTTCTTCTTCTTGTTATTACTGAGAACATCGACGTTCATGAAGAGCTTGAGGTCTGTGTTCCTCTGTTCAAGCTCATCGGACACTGTGTGTATATGCTGGAGATAGGAGCCGAGGATCCTTCGTTTGTCAGCTTTACGAATCTTCAAAACGAAGTGTCTAACGCCGTCTTCGTCGTGTCCATTGATCCAGCAAACTCTAGCGCCAAGAAACTCGTCGCCAACGACTTGGTTCCGATCTAAACGGAGGATGATCTCGTTAGACTTTTTCCCGGTGAAGAGGTTCGTGAAATCGGAATTCTCGATGGAGCTTAAGGAATTGAGATAGGCGTACACTTTGCGGTAGAGGTGATTCTCTTGCAGGTTGTCGTTGAACTCTGGAACTTTGTAGAATTGGTAAACGTGAAACATGTCGATGAGGTTCCTCCTCCAGAGCTTGACCATGTAGATGAATCCAGTTTTGAATAACGCGATCCTAATTAAGAACAGAGCAAACGCAGCCACGAGTAACAAGAGAATCGAATCCCAGAGAATCCCCATGGAAACAAAACCAAAAACAAAATATTCTCAGAATCTGTTAGCAAAACGATGAAAAAGAAGAAGAGGTGGTTAGAGTAGAGAATATAGAAGAAATCAAAGGCATGTCCGGAGAATTGTGAGAAAAAGAAGAGAAGAGAGTGATTTTTTATTTGACGGGAGATATATAGAACAAGAGAGTTCGTTCCTCAGGAATATTAATTAAGAAGAACGAACGAAAACACTCGGAGAAAGCCGAAAAGGACGACGAGGAATAGTTATCGTATATATTTTTTTTAATAAATAAATAAATTAGGCGTGACGGAGACGATGCAACTGAGCAATCAAAAGGGTTGATTTATGTAAAATCAAGGTGACGGCGATTATTTGTTTGAAAGGTTCAAATCACACTTCTCTCTCTCTATTTGACAGGTGATTTCGAAGATTTGGTTTTCTCTTTAGGTACGTACTCCTTCTCCCACATGGCATAAAACAAATTAGAGTAATAAATAGGAGGAAACAAATCATTCCTTTGTAGACATATTTTTTTTTCTTTTTTGGTGTTGGTGTTTTATTCATGTATTTCTTTAATTACACAACACAATACATTTTTATAAAAAAAAAAATATAAAGATGAGAAAATATATATACATGAATAAAAAATCAAGTGGATAAGTGTAATATATATTTTTAAAAATATTTATTGGCAAATATTAACACAGGGTGATTTATTGGTAAACATGATACATAGTGCATTTAATACGGCATCTGAAATATTCTTAGTTGTTGCTAACTACAGTAGTTTCAATTAACTATCGTGCCTATACGAACTTCTAAAGTCAACTTCATTTGAGAATATTAAGGCAACAGGTTTTATTTGTTTTTTGTTTTTTCTTTTGTTGGATACAATAGATAATTATTTTGTTTTCATAACTCGAATATTCCACATGTATTTATTTATTACACAATCGGTATCAAGGACAGGAGTTTTTAGCTAATTCACTTAAGCAACAAGCTAAATTTATCTGTCATTTTTTGTTTTTTTTTTAAAATTTAATTTGTCAGCCAAATTTTTTAAGGTCGGCGCAAGATGAGTTTAAGCAACTTTAATTTATTTTATCAGTTTTTGTCAAGCGGCGTAAACCTTTGAGATATTGAAGCGTTTTAATTGATAACCAACTCGTAAAGTTTAATATTAGGAATATTAATTAGTTAGAGAGATGACTAGTTATATTATGAATGACTAGACTTGACACTTGTTTTTAGTTTCTTCTGATGACAAAGAATGAACGAATATATCCATCAATTAGATCAAAAGACATCTTTTTGTATACTTCATATTTCATGATTAACCACAAAAGCTTTTAGTCTCCACTACCAACTAAACATTTTTCATTAAAATTAGAAAACTATTTTATCATTCCGTAATAACCGCATATTTATTCCTATAATATAGGTATAGCAGAATAATAATATAGCTGACTCATTGTTTTGGACGTCTACTAATTAAATTTTAATTAATCAGTGATGAGAAAAGCACATCATTTCAACAATTTGTAGCTTTTACATTGCTGGTATGTAGCTAGGGCGTCAGATTAATAGTTAGCACTGACAAATGAGAGTAGCTAAATCCCATTATTTATTACAAACAGTTACTCTTGTAACAAAAAGAAAAGTTACGATCCTAATTTCTTATGTTTAGATGTTTTGTGTATTTGGTTCACGTGCACCCAAAAATCAGCCTAGCACGAAGGAGTTTAGCCGACCAAAACACCGTCATTCAAAAGGGGGATTAATCCGTATTTGGACAATATCACAATAGACTATAATCATAATTAACTCACTACAGTTAACAACTTACAAGACACTTGTCTTGTTCATAATTTAAGACACCTGTGGCCTTTTTTTAAGATTGCATGTGTTTGGTGTTTTGTTATTTGGGTTCAAGAATTCAACATTTCATTTCGTTTACGTGAATCTATAAAAGTCTTTTTCTTTTTTTTCTTTTTTTTTTTGTTAAAAGCAGTCATGATGATTTAATTTTGCTTAGTTTTGGTATTTCTGAATCTGATATCATGCAAACTTATATATGTTTCGTCTTATAATTAACTTACAAAAATGGGTTACTATTAAAATGATATGTGTCTTAAATATACTTTTTTTGGTTTTTCATCGTAATTTTTTTTGGTAATTTGCAGAGGAGAATAGCTTCGCTGATATATAGATATGTAAAAGTGGGAATTATAAATGTTTTGCTGTCAACCTATAGGCGGACTCGAAAGGATTTTGAATGATTTAGCAAATGGGAAATATTCAAAATTTCTGAAGCCATACCCATCATACACGGTGGTCCAATATTAACAATAATTACATGCAATGGAAATAGTGACTACTTTTCTCTCTTCTTTTCTTAAGAATGCTGTGTCTTTCGATATTTTTTATCAGCTTTTGCTTTACATTTTCTGCACTAATCGATTGCCTGTAAAGTTGTACTAGTTTAACGTCATCGGTATGTGCATTCATCATGATCTTATAACCAAACTATACATAACGTTGAGCTGATCAACAAAAAAAGTATAAATTTTGATAAAACTCCATTGTAACTAGCTAAAACGCACATATATTGTTAGTTGCAAACTTAGTTATATAAAAACGCATTCAGGAAAATCAATCCCGGACATGGGTTATAAAAATTGACTAAATGTAGAGGTTTTTGTTTTTGCTTAGTCCAAGTTTGGGCCAGTTTAGCATATTTTGCATGTGCAAACCACATTAGAGAAGGAATTTTTCTGCAATGTATCAATATATTATATACAGTGACTATATTAATATATTTATATATTGACATATATAATTCGACAAAACCATTCCATGTGTTTGGGAATTTTGACTATTCGAGACAAAACCTAACAAAACTACTAAACTATAATAGTAACAAACAAGAAAAACGTGTTTCCAACGATGGAGCATAGTCTTTCTTTGACGTTGACTTGAATAGTAAAGAAACATATTAGATTCAAAAGGGTTATATGAGCTAGAGAATACCAAACAAACCGAATTATATTATTGACTATGATTTGAAAGTTGAATAGGAATCTGTCATTTATATTCTGAATACGCTGAAGCAAGGCGTTGAAGGACACTGAAGTATGGGGAAAAGGCCATTATTTGAAGTGAATCGACCTCTAAAGAATGATGGGCCTTTACACAATATACAAAAGGGTCGCCCATTTGGTCATGTTACACAAGTTTCAAACCCCTTACATATATCTTTATCGACCATTCAGCTATGGAGAAGCGTTGGTGAATCTATAAACTTTTAGTTTCATAAGTTACTAAATTTAGTAATTTTTGCATCAATGAATAAGATTGTTAGAAAGGGACAATAAGATGTTGAAGCGAATTTTAAAGATACTGTGCATATATACTATATTATATATATATATATGTATGCATATGTTTATATTGGAAATTACACTCCTATCTAGTAATTTTGTTGATATTTTAAAATAAACAAAAAATGTGATTATATCATTTTTTCGTACATTAAATTAGTTGTCGAACAAAGAAAATTTCTCTCTTATAACATAAGAAGTTATTAAATTTGTAATAGATTTTTAAGATTCTTAATTATTATGTTGACGCTTGCTACATATATAATGTTTTTAGGAGAAAATGCAGAATATATATTACATATATTAGCGGTGATACAAAAAGTAAAATTGAAAGGAAAAAAAAAAAAAAGAAGAAGTGAGGCTTAGATGCTACGCACTTTTGATGCCTATGAGCAACCGATAATACACTTCGAACCGTTGTATATTTTTCTGAAAAGTCGTATATATAAACTAAAATATATATTGTTTTGTTCTTAAAGGAAAGAATTAGTGGCTCAGAGCAGTGTGATCAATACAATTATATTATATAGATATATGATAAAGAAAAGCCGACGAAGATGCTTTAACACAGAGATACTTTTTTCACTGCTTATTAGTATTCGATGTTTGGTTTCTGAAGTTTCCCTTTCGATGCATTTTAATAATCCTTGCATTAAAGCAACTTGTCCAAAAATCAGACCTATATAAACCGTTGGTATAAATTTTCGGTTTTAAGAACCTTGCAATAATGTTGCCCTAAATATTCTAGTTAGTAGTCAAATCGAGATAAAAGAGAGGAGAATCTATGAATAATTAGTGGAGAAACATTATACTCTTCTTAATTGGTTAGTGTTAACGACTTAACGGGCAATCTTTCAAATACAAACATACTACTAACAAAATGTAAAAAATTATGCATTAAGTTGAAACTAAGTCAATCAAGTAATGGTAATATTATATATACCCCATTTTGTTGGTCGAGCAAATTTCACATACAGTATAATAATTACGGACTGAAAAAACATTATATATGCATGCAAGTACAGATTTTGTTCTGCCAATCTAATCGTCTTTTACATATCGGTGTGACAAGATGCAGAGTGTTTTTTTACCTTTTTTTCACAGACGCGCGTAACAACGAATTTAGAATCGAAATAAACTTTTATCAACGGTGATAGATAAGTTATAAGGAAAAGCTTGAAAGTGGCTCTTATCGATTGATACCAGTCGTAAAATGTGGTTTTTGCAAGCTGGAAATCTCATTGCATGGATCTGATACCTTTCTCCATTTTCACTTTTTTTCCTTTCCATGTTTCTCGTGCTTCACTTTTCTTCAACACACTTGTTTATTTCTATATTTTTTATCTATATATAAGCTTTGGTTACACATCTCAATCGTTCCATTGTGTTTTTTGCCACACTAACATCGTACTACATTTCGAATAGAAACATAATGTCTAACGTTCGTCCATGGTTCCGTCTCTCTAGCATCGCTAGGCCTACATCACAAGGCTCAAGCGACCCACCTCCACCTCAACCTCAACCTCAACCTCAAACCCGACAAACCCCTCGTCGTCCGGTCATAGTCAGACCACCGCCAAGACAACCGTCGTCACCTCCACGTCAGCGACAACCTCCTTCACCTCCACGTCAGCAGCAACAGCCTCCTTCCCCTCCACGTCAGCAGCAACAGCCTCTTACCCCTTCACGTCAGACGAAGGCTCCTCCACCTTCACCTCCTCAAGAGCGGTCCCCATATCAGTCACCTCCAAGCCGCCACATGTCACCACCGACCCCACCAAAGGCTGCTACGCCGCCGCCGCCACCACCTCGGTTGTCATACACGCCGCCACCATCTCCCAAGGAGGTCCAAGAAGCCTTACCCCAGCGAAAACCAAAATCACCACCGAGTCCAGCTCATTCAAGTCGGTCTTCAACGTCTGAGTCAGTGAAAACTCGGTCTGTAACATCTGATTCAGAGAATCATCGGAAAGCACCATCACCAAGAGTACTCTCTCCTTACTCTCTTCCACCTGCTCAGTTACATTCGGAACGTGACACCACTCAGAAAAACATCCTCACTGCCGAGAAAACAAGCCAACTCCATGAATCAAATCATCATAGCTATAACCACAACAACAACCACAACCACAACCAGAACTATAACCAGAACCATAACCAAAACCAAAACCATAACTATCAAGGCAACAACCCCCGGAAGATGCATCGCCAACCATCTTCGTCCGATTCTGAGAGCATAATGGGAACACGTGTCATCACAATTGCAGGTGAAAACAAAGGTGCTGTAATGGAGATCCTGCGATCTCCTCCAAGCAACAAAACCGGAGGTTCAGGAACACATACCTCTAAGGTTTTTCACGGCACCGGAGAGAAAGGACGGAAACTTCAAAGCAGCAGCAGTAGCAGTAGCGACGAAGGAGAAGGAAAGAAGAAAACGACGAAGAACCCTAACATCAATGGCAATAGTAACCTCCCGATGAAAGCTTTTATGAACAGTAACGTGCAGATGATAAACAACTCCATTGTTTACAACTCGACGGCGTCTCATCACGATCCCGGCGTTCATCTTAAAATCTCCCGGAAACCTGGCTCCGACAATGGTTTCCACGTCAACGATTACGGTAATAATCGCGGATATACCGACTGATGAAATATCAAAAATATCTCACCTTTGCGAATATTAAAAAAAAAAAGAACAAAACAAACAAAAAAACACTAAAGGTTTTGCAATAAATTCAATTTTATTAAAATAAAGAAGAAAAGAAAGAATAAAGAAAAAACATGAGTGGGTTTGACTGGATTCTGATTCTTTTATAAAGCTTATAGAAACCTCTCATTCGTTTGAAGGCTTTGATTCGTTTCTTGAAACGGTCTTTTCTAATTTCTTGTAACGCCCTTTGTTTCTCTGTTACATGGATCAATGAGATTATCAATTACTTTACTATACACAGGAAGCCTCATATTACTATGAAGGGCCAAATTAAATTTACTGCACAGGCCCATTTCATATTTTGTGCCTACATACAATTTGTATTGCGGTTGTATATTTATCTTTTGGAAATTTGGGTAGTGATTTGGATAATCTTTCAAACGATTATGGTCACACAACTTACAAGCGACAATTTCACGAGGAACAGCGAACCAAACCTTGTTATTAACCTAGTGGCTTTCAAGTCAACTACTTCTATAAATAAATGTCTAACTGGTTCGAGTGTCCAATATGAGACATAACAGGACGCCAACGCTTCAAATTATCCCCATGTACTTATTTATCCTCAAATTATCCCCAAGGACCCCAACAAATGTATATGCTTCTTTTATTTAATTTGTAATGGAAAATTTTTATTCGTCTCCAAGATCTTTTGTAGTGATTGTAACCGTATCCGAAATATAGAGTGCAGAACTAAACTAAGAATTTTTTAATGAATAAATAGAATTATAGAACTTGGAGGAGGTGAAAAGCCAGAGGGATCTTATTTATTATTTGTTTTGTCAAGTAGTATATTTGTAGTACTCTCTTTTAGTAACATAGAAAGGAAATGGTTTGATGAGTATAGATCCCTAGATAGGTATATCTAGCTAACGTCTCTATGACATTAAAAAAAAAGTAATGTATATCGCTAACATCTTATCTATTTACCCTATATATGTCTTATACATTTTAATTATATCAATCATTGAAAATAAACATTAAGTTTTGAATTTGTTTGGACCTTTCCATTCGATTTTTGTAATATTGTTTTTTTTTTTTACTTTATTCAAGAGCAAAAACATCACTATTTAATAAAGACGCAATACATGGATATTTAGTGTACATTTTACTACGATAATTTCAGAAACTTATGTAATTCCCCTATATATATTGTTGTCGTATAATTAGGCAAAAGATAACAAAAGTTTGAGAACAAGAAGCAACTGACAAAGAGAAAGGAGTGTGAAGTGTCCAAATCCTAACAGTATGTGTGGGGTATTGTGTGCTCTTCCAAAGCTTGGAGGGTACTATGCATGTGCATGCATTATGCAACAGTCCTCCTAATCTATTCTGTCTTTGACGATTCGATAAGGTATCCGACGACCTCACAAATTAGCGCAACTTAGAGAAGTTTATATATTGTTCACAAATTAGAATTCCATAAATTAATAATTAGGCACTTGATCGATCCATTACAATTGTACATGTAATTTGAAATATTGTCAATAATTTAAGTATCTTAATTAGCAAGTGGTTCTCTCAAGAGAACTGGCGTAGCTGTTTCCAATTTTGAAGATATACTTTTCTAATAAAAGTTGATGATTATCACTCTTAAAATTTTGATCGCTAGAGTTTAAAAATACATTGTTGTTGATAGTGAAGGAACGATCCGCGACGACATTCCGCGACATTTATATTATAATGACCACAGTGGCTAAATTGCTTCCATTATATTTGGAACATCCTGAGGGAATCCAAAGCTAGCTGATCCAATATTTTTAAAAATTGATTGAAACCAAAATCTATCGCTTTAGTGCAACGAATTCTACCTTCAATGTCTAATCAAATGATATAAAGCATTGAAAGCAACAGAAGTCTACCTACAAGATTACAAGAAATGAAACACGGAAAACACTAAAAGTGAAAATGATTTAAAAAAAACTATTAGGTCAAAGTTTGATTATGAATAAGTAATCGGGTCAAAAAGTTAATTTTCATAATAATATAGGGAGGGGGAGAACGAATAGTGTTTGTGACGACCAGATAAGCACAACAACATCACTGACATGTGGCACCTACTTATTGGCCTTTGCCTCCCAAAAGTCAGACCTAACTAACCCACTCTCGCTCTAGTTGACACGTGTCAGTAGCTAAAGGACTCTCTTTATTTAAGTGTCTTGATAGATTTCTCATTTCACACTATTCTTTTGCTTTGTGAAACCTTTCACTCTTTCTACTGACAACAAAGAACTAGAGAAAACTAGCTATATGATGGTACGTTAATATATTATTCTTACTTGTTTAAATCGTATGATTTTTATTTGCTTCGATATTTAGTTCTATAGATATTTCGGAACTATAAATCTTTTATTGTTTTCTCGATTTTTCCGAAGATCTTTAACTGGGTGCAGAGAAAGCTGCACCAAAATGTCATCAAAGGTTAGTTTTCTTTATTTGTCTATTAAAATATTATGCTTAACTGAATAGTAGTTTTACTTTTTATAGTCATATGATTTCCCTGTTTAATATATAGTTTTATATTAAAAAGGCATCCTTGTTGAAAATAGCATTCCCACATTTTCTCCAACATATATTTAGATCGATGCTTGTATATTATTTTCATGCGGTGAAAAGAAATAGATGGTGTGGCGAAAAACGAGAAAAAGAAGACAAGCGAGGGAACAAGTGAGATAGAGAAAAACACGAACGCTATATTGGATCAAGTTGGGTTAGTGGATGCTCTTGATAATTGGTTCGATGGAGTTCTCACCATCGGCACATTTGGTTTCGACACCTTGAACTTTAAAGAAACAGATGAAAAAGATGATGATGAATGCGGGAGTGTGGATCTCGACTATGTCGTAATCGATGGTAGCATCATCAAGAACGTCGACCAGGAATTGGATCCTCTTATCTCCGATGCAAATAAGTTTTATGATCATCATGAAGATGTAATCGAGGTACGTACGTAATAGTTCAGATAAACTATAGTGGTGTACATATTTATCCTCGAGTCGTTTTACCAAATAGAAAATAGATTATACATAGACACGCATGTCTCAATTGAATGTGTGTGTGTTTAGAGATGTAGAGATTATACATACTAATACACTTTCTTAAGATTGTTTTGCTTGATGTTTACGGTATTAATTAGTTATAATATGCACAAGGTATTGGACACTGATCACTTTGGGTCGATCAAAACCACTGAAACGCCAGTTGTCGCTTTGGTGGTCGAGAACGAGATAGAACCACAGAAGAAGAGGACAACACTTGCGGAGCTTTTCATGGAGGACCGAGACAAAGAGGTTAACAAGTGGGAGGGCAAGAAATCCAAGAGCCCTAATCTTGACGAGGAGGAGGTTAAATATCATAAACCAAACGGGTCAAAGCTAAGTAGGAAGTTCTCACTTGTTAAAAAGAAGATGGTCATGTCAAAGTCCAAAGACGAAGAAAAAGACTCGCGTCCAATCAAGAAAATGCATCAGGTAACTAAATTTTTATATATAATTCAATTTGTATATGATGAACATGTTACATGTGCCTCTATAATTCCAGCGAAATGACGTCACGACAGGCTCTAGATAATGTTGCGTGTCTGTTATTATTATCATAACTTTTGTTGCTTCATAAGTGTACTCATATGTGGGGTAACTATTCATTCAAATTGCAACTTCATATACGTGTGTGTATATAATATTGTAGATGATAAAGAGAATGCTAAAGAAGAAGATCCATCCAGATATAGATAGGACTAAGGCTTCTAAGAAAGATGTTCCATACAAGCCAACTCAGAAATGTGAAGCTCTCGAGTCACGTTATCTTCTTCACATTCAAGGTCCGTCTTGTCTCTCTTTTTCAATTATTTAAGATAATGTGTTCGATATGAGTATCTCTTTTCTAACTAATTAATAATCTGCTTTGTGGAACAGATTGCATGGCCTAGAAGGCTTAGAGAGATCGATGATGTCGTACAAGAGCAATCATTATTGGATCCATATTGGTTTCTATATTATATGTGATTTTGTTTCTCCTTTTCTGTAATTTCAGAATGTGTTGGTATCGTTAAGAATATATGCTTTTTTGTTATTATTACAAACAATTACTAAGTTGTCACTACTATTTGTTGAATATGGCTATTTTGTTTTATAAATTAGAATGATGTTCTGTGCTTTTATTTAGACGTATCTATCTAATATTCTAATGTATATCATCGTTCTCGAAAGTTTCCGTTTAAATATTTTTTTCTGGTTGTGGAAGTCAATTTAACTATTTAACTTATAATCTAAAATTCAACTTACAGAAAACAGAAAGCCCTTTTGCGTTATTGGGCCTAATTAGAAAAGTGATTCTGAAGGCTTCTTTAAAATTAAAAAGAACATTTAAAAAAGTTATGCTTGACCTTTTCTTTTTTTCCGAAAGAAAAATAAAACGTGAAAAGAGCTTCACCAACCTGAAGTCGCTGACCACTTGGACCCTTGGAGGGCATTTTCCATTTCAGCTACCAATTAACTTACAAAATCCATATTCTTCACGTTTTACTATGGTAGGTACCCTGTTCTACTTACTTTCGATTTTCGCTTTGAATATTATACGTCAACCAAAAACTATGTAACTGGTCATATATAAATTGCTACGTTCATCCTACATGTTCAAAACGTTAGAACTATATTATTTACCCTTTATACACAGTAGGACGGTAACTTTAATAAAAGTCAAGAAATAACAAAACAGTATTCAAGAATTCATTATATAAACACAAGGCGTGTGGTCTCGAGAAGCTGCTTATATATAGACCGGTAGGTTCGTAGGAACTCTTCTCCTCACAATCTTGCTTTCTTGATTTTGTTTCAATCAGATTTATTTGAAGTTCTCTGTTTCAAGATTAATTCTTAGGCAAGAGCAGATCAAATGGCGAATCTAATATCGTTTCATGACGTAGCTAAACATAAGTGCAAGAACGATTGTTGGATTCTCATCCATGGAAAGGTACCTCTCCATCTTATTTTTACTTATTATACTTTCTTTAATCAAAATCCAAAGTTTTAAAATCCTCTGTTTCTTTTGTATCTAATAAGACAAGTGAATGAATCTCCCACAGGTCTATGACATCAGTACCTTCATGGACGAACATCCTGGCGGTGATAATGTTCTCCTCGCCGTCACCGGTACGTATAAATACGAGTTGGTTTAATAATCCGGTTTGGTTTCTTAATATATCGGTTTGTAAATTTTGTGAGTTTGTGGGATGTAATATGTAAAGGCAAAGACGCGTCGACCGACTTCGATGATGTGAACCATAGCAAGGATGCGAAAGAGCAAATGAAAAAGTACTGTATCGGTGACATTGACCAGTCAACGGTTCCAGTGACGAAGAAGTATACTCCGCCGTGGGAGAAGGAGTCTACGACGGCGGAAATAACTAAAGAAGAACCTGCAAACAAGCTGTTCGTTTACTTGATTCCTCTCTTGATTCTTTGTGTTGCCTTCGCTCTCAGATTCTACAACAACAAGTAATCCAAAGAAAAACCAAGAATTATGATGAAAAGATCGATCATAGAGTTTTCTTATTACTGTTCTTGGTGTTTGTGTGTTCGTAATAACGGGCTTCTTGTACGAACATTTGGCCCATGATTCAGGATTTGATTTTATTATTGTCTATTTTATGCTAATGGGCCGTAGCAATAGGCCCTTGTTGATATATGCCAATATCTTCTTATACCATGAGGTTTTGTTATTACTGTCATTAATTATGAAAACAACCAACTAATTTATTATTTTTTACTACAAAAAAAAAAAAAATGGGTGAGGCATACTATATGATATACAAACACATGTATAAAAAAACAAAGAATAAGCATGACAACAAAACAAAGGAAGAGGACACAAAAGAAATGAAGAATGTTTGTTTTTAATTTACCACAAATTCGAGGAAAATTTAAAAATGTTAGAATGTGATACACTAGTTATATACTTATTTTACTTGGTCTTCAAGTGCTGTTGTTTTCATGTACAGTATTGTATATACAAATAGAAAATATCAAAAATATCATTCTTTAAGTTAAGTTTTTTTTTCTTTCAAGAAAGTTAGTTTTAAAGCGTGAAATGAATTTTGATAGAACAAACTAAGAGAATCATGTTTTTATGCAACTTAGTATTAAACAAGTGATTGTTATAAGAAATCAAAGAATGTTTGTGGACTTGCAAAGATCGTTCTCCAAGATCTCAATACTGATTTCATAATTTAATATCCAGTTGCAATCTTGATGTGTAATTGAGTTCATTCAATTATTTATATTCAAATGTTACAAATATCAAACCTACGATTTTTGAGTTGGGAAGTAACCAATATCTTCCCACAGTCGAATATGTCTGAAATTAACTAAAACGCAATATGGTGTAAATATAATTATATAAAATATAAATAAAAATTACTTTTTCATGTATATGTACAACCTAGAACAAAGTAACAAACACATTACTCTCCTCTCAGACTCACAAGTCACAACACACAAACGCACGCACAAAAGGCAAAAGGAACACATCACGTATCAAAATGTTAGTTCTAGCGAAACGAAAAAAGCTGCTTAATAATAATTTGTTTCCAGTAATAAACTTTCTTGTACGATTTTTCAACTGCGCCTACGGCACACTTTAGCAGCAAGAGGACTAGCCATCTCACACGAAAGCCTTAGTTTCTCGGATAAGTCAACGCCGTTCACATCGGACGGTCCCCATTCAAACTCATGCAACAACGTCGCGGTCCAAAACGTAACGGTAGCCAAACCTAGATTTTTCCCTGGACAGATCCGACGACCCGACCCGAACGGTGCAAGTCTCAAATCCGACCCGAGAACCGAGAACTCCACCTCTCCATCTTTCGCCACGAACCTCTCGGGTTTAAACTCCAAAGGATCAACCCACACGTGTGGATCATGCGATACGGCCCACATGTTCACCATTGCGGTGGTCCCTGCCGGAACGAGACGACCATCAACGATCGTGTCAGTTATGGCCAAACGGGCCCATGATAGTAGTGGGCCTGGAGGGTGAAGCCTCAATACTTCTTTCACCACAGCCGTCAGATATGGAAGCGAAGCCAAGTCAGATTCATCTACGGCTCTTGATTTTCCGACCACTAGATCTAGCTCATCATGTACCGTCGATTGAATATCTGGATGAAGGACCATCCTTGCCAGGATCCACTCGATTAGAACCGCAACCGTGTCTGTTCCTCTGAATATCATCTCCTGTAATAATAACCCAAAATCAAAATGCGATATATTTTTTTTAGTGCACTTGTTACTTTTTATAGAATCTGTTAATAAATATTTTTTTTTACTAATTTGATGTCAAACATCTTTGATTATCCCACCACTTCCACATGTCACATTCTCTCTCAAATTCCATGTTTCTAATCCAAAATTCTAAGCAATTTATAAAACAAAATATAATTAAAGAAATGGTATGCATACCCAAAGAACGGCGATTATGTCCGGGTCGGATAGTTTATCCGAGCCATGGAGAGAGAGCAAAACGTCGACGAAATCACGAGGCGAATCACCGGTTTGATTACGGTGTTCTGATATAATCCGGGATACAAACCGGTTTACCTTCGGTACGAGTGTTGAACATCTGGACCGGATACTCTGAGGATCAAACTCCGATAACCAAGGAAGGTGATCGCTCCAATTCAATGTTCCGAGTAGATCATAACCTTCTTCGACCAATTCACGTAACTCAGCATGGTCTTGTTCAAGCTCGTACTCTTGTCCGAAAACAGAGCACATCATGTTGTTAAGCGACGCAGATTTAAGCAACTCACGTACAAAACAGAGTCCGTTGTTACTACTCTGTTTTTCAAGAAACTCAACCATCTGGCTCGAGATCACGCGGCGCTGCGCCTCCGCTCGTCTTATTTGTTTCGGGCTAAAGAGATGGCTCGAAGCGATACGGCGAAGCGTTCGCCAGTAAACACCATGTGGAGCGAAACCGATTGCTCTGTTAAACATCAGAGAGTAAGCGGATTCTTTAACCGGCCGGTCAGCGAAAACAGGGCTATTCAGAATCTCTTTGGCGACGTCGGGATTGCACGTGACGATCACACGGGTCTCGCCTAAGCTGAAAGCCATGAGCCGCTTGGCTCCAAATTTCTCAGCTACATCAGCGATTCGGCGGTGAGCTAGAGTGCTTGACATGAGTGACATGCTTCCAACAAGAGGTAATCCTCTTGGACCGGGAATAACGTTTCCGGTCTTGTAAGAACCGGATGCTAACCGGCGGAATAGGTATTTGCCCCAAGCGGGTCCTCCGCGATAGGTCCAGAAGAAGAGAGATACGGCGAGCCAGATGATTGTGACGGCGAGGAGAGAGAAAGCGAGGTTAGTTTGGCTAAGTACGCTGCATTTGGACAAAAGGGCAAAGATCAAGGAGCTTTCGAGTTTCGTAGCCATGGCAAGATCAAAGCAAAGTAAGTGAAGAGGAAGAGAAAGAGAAAAACAAAAGGAGAGTGTCTTTTGGTCTGTGGGGTTTAGAGCTTCGCAGATGGCTTCGGTATTTATATAGAGAACTCTCCTTTGTCTACAGTGTATATAATGTCCTTTTTAGAGTATATATAATTTAAAGGGTTTTTCTTATATAATAGTATATTTTTGTGTAGTTGTTTTATTTTATTGTTCTGTCTTTGTTGAGAATGTGTTCATTGTTCGACTTCGACATGTATATAATTTTCATATCATACTATTTTCGCTTTAGCTAATATGTATATATAGTAGGGCGAGCATAGAGCAATGCCAAGTTATATAACATACCGTAATATTGGTAAGAGGGTACATAAAATACGTCTTGGAACAAAATATGTAAATGTAACTTCCCTAGATAAATTATAGTTGCCAAGCTCGATCGACGTTGATTGTGAATCTCTTTTGGATGGATATCTTATAATTGAAAACAAATTTGATAGTGCTTGTAGATTTGATTCTAGTTTTTTGTTTTTTTTTTTTCTTTTTTATGTAAAGGAAAATAAAAGCAAGACTGTTGAGCCACAAGATAACGATGATTGGAGAGTCTTGTTCAACGATCTATTTGACAAATAAACATCAAATTAAAGGTGTTTAAAAACAAACAAAAAAAGCAACACCACTTTGAATGTAATCGTTTATAAATGGATTCCTGAATGTAACGAATAATTGTAAAATTAATGGAGTTACGTTTAAACTTTGAATGTAACAAAAACAAGTTTCACTTATAGCAACAGGTGGCTTATGTCGCAAATCAGAGAAATATGAATCTTACTATTTAATTATAAAGAAAATATTTGTTGTTATAAAATAGGTGTGCTGTGATGGTTACATCTATTAACTTAATGTTTTACACTGCTTAATTATCGTCATAACCGTTGAATATCAAACATAAATCATGGAGTCTGCTTGTATTAGTTAAATGGATTTTATCTGTTAAATGAAGACACTAATCCAGTTGACCTGCCTTTACAGGAGGCTTCGTAGAAGAAAGAACAGGCTCCGACGAGAGTTCCATAAATGATTCAAGTAAGAGTCTCAGTAGTTAGTTGCAGAAGTAGCTGTGAATTCAATAGTTCTAGTATCTGTTGCTTTAGTTGCAGTAGCTCTTCCAACAACTGGAATTTCAATCCGGCTGGCAGCGGTCTAGATAAGACGCAGCGCAGGACTCTCTTATCTAAAATCACTTATCTGTCTGTTTACTTTATATATACGTACACTAAAATAGTTTTACAATTTTGTTGTTGTGTTTCATCTCAAACAATGTTTCATAGTTTTGTACTTTTGTTATATAAAAAAGTATTTCATAGTTTTCTTTCAATACACGTATATAAATATTATATTTAATTCCAAAATTTATATCGTATTTAATTCATAAACAAAAATTATAATGGTACGGTTAGATCCGTTACTAGTAAGCAAAATACTTGAGTTGAGATTCAACGGTTTAGCGCCGTCATACGCTGGCGCGTGACTCCTAAAGCTTTCCAATCCCATGGGATGAATCTTCTTCACCCCTTCTTACTGTTCAGTGTCTCATGGTAAAATCTAACCCTAACGTATATAATTCAATAACTAAAGCTTAAAACAATTTGGATTTTACTGACATATACTGTAGTCCCATTTTCCAAAACTAATCGGAAAAAAATCTATTTACAGTCTAGGTTTTTGGTAAAGACTTGATTAATTAGGTTTATACCAAACTATAGAAGAATCTAAAATGTGATCTTAGCAGTATCCAATAAAGAAATAAAAATGCGAATGTGTGTGCACTATATATAATCTATGGATATTTAATCTTCATTATTATTATAATATTTGACTAGTTCTATGATTAATTAGTCAGGATTGGGGAGTTAATAACTTATAACCGCTTGTACACTTTCTAATTCTTGATACATTTTTTTAATCACGGACGTGGGAGCGATTAAGGAGTTCTCCAATGGCTTGTTAACATGTGCGTTTTCACTAGTTTTTAATTTGGTTTTCTCCATTAATATGATAATCCAACATGCTATTACATATTTGACAAAAGGACAAATAATTCATTATAATCAACCGTGTTTTGAAAAAGTTAAAAAAGATTTTAATGTAAACAGGTAATAGCGTATACGGTTGTACTTGCTACTTATCCACGAGACAAAATTAAATTTATTCATTAGCTTGTTAACCTCCCTATATGTGTTACATGACGCTATGACAGCTATATCCTATATACAATGTGTTCAACTTATAGCTGTTTATTTAGCTTAACTAATTACAATTTATAATTATATGTACAAAATATTAACCACTATACAATCATTAGTTTAATGTCATCTTATCACATATTTACCTATTTATATATATATATATATTACTTCACCCATTTGTATATTCTGAAAGCCGCATGATTTATTGTGAGCATAGAAAATGTTTTGTTGTGAGCCAAAAAAAAAAAACAAATGTTTGTTTTAAAACTAGAATATTCTTCTATCCATAGAAAAATTCCATATGAAATAGAAGAATCGTAGTATTTCTCCCATATATACGATATATAGAGAATCGTAGTAAACAAGGTTTAATAAGATACTTGCTTATAATATTTTTTTTTGCAATATGATACAAAACTTATACAAATAAATAAAAGAGAACCATTTGAGTTTTGAAATTTTCGCAACGAAAGATAAAACATGTTCCTCAGACACAAATGTTGCGGTGGATCTTTGTTGTTGGCTATGTGCGGTCTTGTGTACCCCAAGTGACGGTACCATCTGATTTACATCGTCGATCTCGTTTCCAGATTCGACTGATCAGGATCCTTCGCTTTCCGTTACGCCACACATGTGAGGACAAAGCGCTTGATCGTGTCATATTTTCAGTGTGTGATATAATTGACACATATGCACACTTGGCAAGTATTCTACGTACTTACCTAACATTAATGACCATATTACCCACCGCCTAAACATAGACATATTCAAAGGCAAGGGCAAAATGGTTATTTGCAAGGCTATAATCAGACAATCCACATGATCTGCTTAAACACAAAATCTATATGGTCCCTAACTTTCGGTTTATCAAGTGCTTGTCGATGGCTTACATCAACGGTCTCATATTTCTCCCGTCTCGCAGTAAGAAGTGCCTGGCCGTTGATCTAACTTCAACTTAGCATTTGCTGTGTAACTTTATTTTCTTTTTATCTTAAAAAGTTAAAATCGCATAACTTTACAGAAACAACAAAAATCTTTACAAAACTATGCATGTTTGTACATAAGTGTGCGCATGCATCTTGTTTTGTCATGCTTATTTATGTATATGTTTTGCTTTGTTTTGTTTTGTTTTGTTGTGGTCTCTAATAAGTGAGGATCAAGCCAAAGACTAGACTTTGGGTCAATAAATAGTTTGATAGTGATTGCAACTTCCCCCAGCTTAGACCTATTTATTCACAATTTGGTCATTACAATATAAACTTGATGGTACTTGTAATTTTAGAAAGTGTATTAGCTAATAATTGTCATATGAAACGAAAGTGCCTGTATTTTGTTAACGTGCTACTCTGAACGTATACATTAGTTAAGAAAAAAAGGAAAAAAGTATACATTAGTTATATGTAATTAATTAACATGTTTTAATAGTTAACTATTCTCATTTATATGGTTACGTATGCCATCAGCAAATCTATCTAGCTAGATAATAAACAGAGGCACCAAAAAGAAAAGAAAAAAAAAAAGAAAAAAAGTGGGATTTGCTAATACATAAAAAATTGAGGAGGACAAAGAACCGAATAGGGTCATTCATCAATCGATTTTTTTGGGTATTTGATACGTCGATTTCTTGGACCGGGGGTGTCTCTATAAGAACCTAACCTAATGTGTGATCGTTGCCCTTTTAAATGGGGCAATCTAAAATGTCGTTAATGTGTTAATTTCAAAATTGACCATACATAACAATAATTATATCGAGTTGAATAGTACCATGCAATATAACCTATAGTCAAAAGTATTTGTAGGCAATACTGCTTTATAAATAGCCAACAGTACTAACAATAGTAAAACAGTAATGAATTTCAAAAGATTTTTTTTTTTTTTGTCGAAATTTAAAAAGTCGTTTTCATTACAAACTAAATTTTTATTTATAATATTTTATCGATTAAAGGTAGCATACCTAGGCTTGGTTAATTATACAACGTAATACCCTATGGTTCCTTAGTGGACCGCCATAGCTAGATAAACACAGCATCTTTGTACTTTATACATCTTAATGCAATTGGACTCGCGACATTATTCCGAGAATCACCTTACATATATCGAATAACTAAGAGAGATTTGCTTATATATAATTACCTTAGATATGTCGAATAACGTCCTAGAGATCAGAGATATATGGTTACATGCATATATGAAATTAAAAGTCTATGCAAGATATTTTCTTAGAGTTAGAAAAGTCGTTGAAAACTTAAATAGCAAGATATACATATGTTCCCTTATATATCAATAGTGGATCCATAAAGATCCATTCGGCAGTAAACAAATTGCATTATCAATAGCATTTGAACCATACATGATACATGCCACAGTAAAGAAATGTTAGGTTGTTTTATAGATATTTGTTGCAGTCTTGCTAGACAAAGATCAAATATAACATAAATTATATATCCAACTTTGCATATAGTGTTAGTATTATATATCCAACTATATGAGTGTAGTGTGGATAAAAATATAATGTATAGACCAAAGTTTTGAATTTTCCGATTAGTACAAAATCTATCCTTTCAATTATTTGTTTACGTCGGTCGTTCTTGCTTTTTTCCACATATTGACGAACCGAAGAGGACATTAAAAAAGAAACGTTGGTTATTGAATTTTGTTTTGTCCCCAACATTTAATGATTTCGATATACTGTATATGTATGTATGACCAAATTAATTCGTTTAATTAGTCTCTCAAAAAAAAAAATTGGTTGAAAAATCTCCCTAATTATTTCTGTCAACAGATGATAATAAGATGAAAGCTTTGCGAATATTGTCTTTACTTTCGTGTTTTGTCTATCTCTGCTTTATTTTTATTGTCGTCAACTCGTCATTCACTGGTTTATGATACTTTACACTATATAAAAACGTATAAACGGGGAAAATATCTGTTTTAAGTTATGATTTTAATTTAATATATTTCCATCGTTTTTTTCATTTATAAAATTTATCGTAACTTACTAGTAATATTTTTCAAGTTAAAAGATTACACAAGCATCATATTTTTTTCTTTACACTATTGGTCAACAGTTGGACAAAAAACATTAATTCTGCTCCCAATCTCTTTTAATTTATTTTATTTTTGTTTCAAACTAAATAATATTCTGTTTTCCAGTCCTTTAACAAAATAAATCTAGTACTCTACTTATTTATCTGTCATACGATATATTCTTGTTCTTTAGCAAATTTCTTGGTGCTGTTATATCCAATCAGCAATAAAAATAAATATCTAACTGATTTATTATTATTATTATTTTTTTTCATCTGTCAAGCACTATTTAATATTAAAATGAGGAAGTACATAATATAAGTTCGTTTGATAAATAAATAAAAAAATCTGCGATGGGTTTTATGTGTTGGAAATATAATTGGTAATATTTATATAGATAGCCTAACCACTTTTGCTTAACAATTTGAATGATGAATTCGATTCGACGCCATGATCTTACTCAGAATATCAGTACTTCAGTACACCACCATCTTCCATTTTGTTGACAATGTGTCAAAAGCTCCTCTAATAATTGAAAATTCCTCTTTTTAAAAAAATCTTTCTATATATAATATACGTTTACTTTTTTTCCCCCAAAAGAATATTATGGAAGTCTCCACTGCACTGTCCGGATCGGATGATATGGATCACATTAAAACTTTCGTCGATACTATTATGATACACTTTGACTTACTAACCATCTTACTGGTAGAGTACTAATTAAAAACAATAGCCACAATATCAATAATTTTTCCGGTTGATTCAACATATCTATAATTCTATATCATATAAAAGTAACGATCTCATTGTCCAAAAAAAAAAAAAAAAGTAACGATCTCGAATAAAAATGCAAGTTATAACGATCGCTGGTCCAAATCCTAACAAATAATTTCACAATCATGTGGTTTAACTTCTTGAAAGGGGTTGACTCTTGTTCTCCTCCCTTTTCTCTTTATAAAATATAATATATATGGGAAACATCTAGACACGTTTGGAGATATGTTGACATATTAATTTGTACATGCCTAGATATTCGAAATCTACCAAATTAAAGTAAGATCTTTCGAGAAAAGAAAAGAAAAAGAAAAAAGAGTATGCAAGATATGGCGCAACATGTTGTTTACATGGACACCCGAATAATACAAATATTTCGAAGTAAACTATTTGGAAGAGAATTTAACAGCTTTCTTCAACTTTGTCACACTTTAGTGTCCATATATATAAATGCCACCCAACCAAAAAATAATGTAGCTATAAAATATTAGAGTATCTTTGCTCTTGTTTGCTGAAAAACATACGATTATTATTAGGCGGTTTAGTATAGGATAATAATCAACAATCGACGTGAGAGAATATCAATTCATACAAATATAAGCATTTCGTACGACCGATCTCGAATGTTAACCAATCAGGTTATGCATTATTTCGATTAATACATGTATATATTACCACGTATGTAGTATACATGACGACTAATTTCATAAACCGATATATAAATTGACATCTTTGGGTTCGTTGTTTGATTGTGATGCAGTATTATCGATTACTATGCGTATGCATGACTAATTACATCAATAGAAAAAAAAATATATTATTTTGTTTATTATTTTGCATACTTCTATATCGAATCCTTTTGCGTAATTTTAACACTGAAGATGAAATTCTTATTAAAAAGAAAACAATGAAAGGAAGATAAAAGAAAAAGAAACATTTAAAATAATAAAATGAAATTGGTCTTCAGCTAATGCACTGATGAATTAACAATCTATTAAAATTAAGATTCGATAGCACAGTGACAGTCTAAGCTAGATAGAGATCTGATTCTGAAATTAAAGAGTATTATTAATCACGGTGTCTCGTAGACTCAACTTGCATGCAAATGAATCACATCTCTCTATCCAACATACACACACTTTGAATACTTTTGCTAATCAACAAGAGTTTAATATATATACATGTATCAAATTATACCACTTTTGACTGCATATATCGACCTTTTGTCACTTTTTCAATATACCGACTCTATTATTTATATATATACACACTATCTGAAATAAAACTTTCGATTAATTCGGTTGTGTATCAAACCAAACAATTGAGATCAAACCTTGCATTCTGTAGTTCCTAAATTCATAGTTGCAAGAGACTAGAGTTTTGCCATAAGTTTAATATATGGGCTCGCTATAGAAAAATATCCATATATATTACAAGGTTTATTATAAAAGCCCATATGATCTGTAGCTAAAAAGACGGCGTCGTATGGGATTTCCTAACCTAACTGAAAAAAGGAAACAAGAAAAAAAAAAGAAGTAAAAGCAGAAAAGAAAAGGAAACTTGAGTCCCAAACAAATACATACTCAGTAGTTTTATGAAAATAGTCTAGGACCTCCTCCTCTCGACAATCACAGAGACAAGAAGCACGTGTGAGTTATAAAGGAGAAAGCTGCAAATTTCACCATTCTCATCTTTTGAATTCTTCAAAATTTCTGACATCGTAATGTACAACTTCAAATCCGCTTTCTCCAACTCTCTCGCTCTCAGCCGCTTGGAGTAAGATCAGAAACTATCAAACGGAGCTTAGACATGTATAAGATCGACCTACCTATTTGCTCACTTTTTTTCCTTTTTCTCATTAAAGGAAAGGGAACGCTCAGCAAAGGCCATTACAACGTGATATAAATCCTTATAAGGGTTTCCACTTGTGGGTAGATGGATCCAAATTTCTCAACCCTTTTGGTTATCTATTTTAATTGATTATGAGATTCCAACGGAAATTGAGGCTGACGGCGCTTTTAGGTTAAAACTTGGGGAGAGAGAGTCAGCGGCAGGCTACTCTGTTTTCGATACTATGATTGCTCGAAATAAAATGTATGGTCCTTCAAAATCTTTATGAGTTACAAAACTTATTATGTTCAATGGGTTTCATCATTCTTCTTTATTTATTATGTTAAATATCAATGTTCTGTCACTAAACCCAACTTATAGTTCTTGTCTTGATCAATTTACATATATTATATATGATTCTCTGCCTTTTGATTTTTTATTCATCCAAATCAAGTCTTAAAACTTATACTACTTTAGCTACAAAGCATAATGAGTACTTACTACTTAAAACAGAAATACAAAGACTAAGTGGTAATATACGACTTTCTAACACAATTTATACAGACAAACCATGAAATTTCAGCTCAAAACCCTGCAAAATTCCCACTGTCGGCGAGTCGTTTGCTGGACCGAACACCTCTATATCCGTGGCTCCGGCTCATGCGATGCAGACCGATAAATTCCGATTAGAATATGTTTCATCCATCTTTTCAAGAGCTTAAGTTTCATGACCAAAAATCCCACCAAGGGTAATTGCTGCTAGACTGGTGCAAGAGGCTTGTATCTGACTTGAAACCTCTCCAATCATCAGATGATGTCAAGCAGCTATCAGCTGGTTCAACAATGTTCATTAGCTGATCTGCTTCTTCTTCAAACCCACCAAAATACTCTCTCTTGATGTTGTTATTATAACCATCTTCATCTTCATGATCATGATCATGATGATCACACGAAACCCCATGATGGCCTTTCTCATCATACATCTCCATCTCCGGTCTAACCTCCTCAGGTTCATGACACCTCCGGTGGTTCTCTTCGTTTTCTGATTCATGATCTGTGCTACTTAGAGCCACCACAGCTTGATCACCACAACACTGCCTTTCCTCCTCCTTTTTTTGGTGCATCGCCTCGTTTAGCTTCTGCAACTGCATAAAAGCATAACAACAACAACAACAACAACAACTCATCAGAGATCTATTATCTTGATTCAAGAAACAATGAAAACAGAGCTTTTTATAATCACCTGATCAGTCCTTTAATTATACTAGTATACAACCAACAGCATCTCAGCTTTTTAGTCATTAATTGGAGTCTATAACCATTTAAGGCACATAATTTGAAATAATATTACTTGATCACTTCTTGTTTGCAATATATAACCATATTAACTTCCATTTTACAACTATTAAAGCATAGTTTTTTTTCTTTTTTTCTTATACCATACTTCACCAAAAATAACATAGATTTATTTGATTATCAATCATCTGATCACTAGAACATACCTCGGAGACTAAAGATTGCTTTTCTTTCTTGAGAGAGTCAAACTGAGAAGCCAAGTTGTCGTAGTTTTGTCTGAGAATGTTATACTCTGTCTCGAGCTGCTTCGATTTCCAACGAGCCCTCTTGTTCTGAAACCATATAGCCACTTGCCTCGGCTGCAACCCTAGCTCTCTCGCTAACTGAACTTTTTTCCTTGGCTCAAGTCTTGTCTCAGACTCAAACATCATCTCCAGTGACTTGATCTGCTCGTCGCTAAACCTTCTCTGGTTGTGGTTGCTCTTCTTCATCTTCTTCATGGACGTGAATGGATCTGATGACATCATCGCCGATGAATATTCTCCTCCTTCCGTCATCTCATTGGAATTTTAACTCCTGAGATCTTTTTTATTTTATTTTATTTTTGGAACCTCTATGTAATTGTGATGTTGGCCATCTCTATATATGTGTGATGAGGCTGAGATTATTATGTCAATAGTATTTTGATATGAGCCTTGAGGGGTCCTTAGCATATAATAAGATAAAAAACTTTGGGTTGCTTTATTGTGAAATTTGCATTCATTTTTTGAGCTAAACGATTTGTGGGTCGACAGGTAGCAATAGGGCAGATTTTGGCTGTTTCTAGAGTCGTCGCTATCACTTGTTAAGTCGAGTTTCATTTCAACGTGAAACTAATCATCTAACTACTGATTAATAATTTCCACCTTTTTTTTTTCCTTTCTTTTACTTTTAGGTAATTATGATCTTTTTTAAAAAGGTTTCTTTCTTAAAAAAAACTAATGTCAGGAATATCAGTATTTTAATTTTGTTTGTTAAAATACCCAAAGAAAAAAAAAAGTAAGTTAAAAAAGAAACTCATTTAAATGATTTCGTTCTCATTTGAAACTCCTTTTCTGAAAAATAATTTGGGTATTTTGGACAATTATGATTATGATTTATGTTCATATTTTTTCAGAAAAGAAAAACAAAATCTGCTTACTACATGTATATATGTTGTATATAAATATGATGATCTTATCTCCAAATATTTTACCGCATCCTGGTTGAATGTGATGATGTGAAAATGGAAATGGAACAAAAGTTACTGGATATATTTGATGATGTATGGGTGCATATCAAATGCTGTCATCGCAATAATGGATCATAAACAAAAATGATGAATAAATTTAACATTTCTGAACTGATTTCTAAACATTAAAGTGATTCATATAGAAAAAAGAATGGGAAAAAGAAAAGAAAAAACCAAAATTTGGAGAAACCAAACCAACACCCCCACGCATTAATGCATATATCATAATATGTGTATTCTTTTCTTTCTTTCAGTGCACCTTCTGATGAATATAAAAACACTATATGCGACAGATTATTTATACATTTTTTTTTTAGGTCTGTGCGTCGATAGATTTAACGTTCATAAGTCAGGATGTGGGACGGGTGTTAGTTTAATTACGTATGCCACAAAACATAATTTTTTTTAAATTAGATTGTGACTTTTTGTTATATTTGCATTCTAAAACATATACTGATTACATCACAAATCTCAAAACTAACAATGGTGATAAATAAGTACTATAGTTTGGTGGACTGTGTGATACGTGTAGTATAAGGTACTGTATAGTTAAACTTTTAACTCATCGTTTCTTTTTCTTGCTTGCAAGATTATTGATTCTTAGATTTTTTTTTTTTTTTAAATGATTGTAGTTTCTTTATTTTTATAGATAATTACCTTAGTACATGTTTAGCTTCACCGGACGTAAATTTTCAAAGCTCCTTAGATAAGTTAGAAATACTTTTAAAGGAAAACAATTTCATTTTTGGTAAAAAAATAAAAATAAAAATCAAATTTTATTAATACTTTACTAATTATTAATTTTCAACTTTATTAATTAATATAAATGATAAACTAAATTACAAACTCTCTTAAAAGTCTCTATTTAAATTTTTTTGTGCAACATATTATTTCAGAAGAATAAAAAATTAATCAATATTTTCTTTTTTAACTGTTTCGAAAAATTAGAAAGAAGTTCTACTCATCATAAACCTAAAAGAACCACCTTTTTATTCTTGTCATTAAGGAAGCCATGATGGTTGAACCAGGTCATCTAGATTTTATTTTACTCACGACGATAGCTATAGAAAATAATTAACCATTCTAGTATTAATGTGAACATCAACTTTAATTCTTGCTTTTCTGATTAGTTTAAGGTTAACGTTCACCTTGCTTGTCGGAAATTTCTTTTGACAAATTTATATATATAAAAAAAATATAAAAAATTGGGCCATCTAGATACGACATTTTCAAGCCCTAGTCATTAATTAAATCTGACTATCAAATAAAAATCTAACATAAGAGTTCAAATTCTAATATCGTATTTGAACTTATATATACGATAAAACAGAAGTGGCAATCAAAAATATCAAAATCAGCCATGGAAATTAGCCAAGTGTTTAGAACCAGAGACGAGAGATCAATGCTTTGGGGACATCAAAGTTGATAGAAGAGATGACATGGCAGTTGATCTGTGGTTGTGTCCTGAATTTTTTTTTGGGCAGCAAAAGTACACACGTGTCGTGGTTAACTTAATTATCGATATTTTCCGATAAGAGCCGTAGGAGAAGACAAATTCTTCTATTTATTTATTAAAGTTTCTTTCTGTTTTCTTAGTTTAATATACAAACGCGATCCCTTGCCTTGTTTGTATTTGGGAGCTCGCCCCGCGTGTGATATATTAAGATTTCTGATGTATTTACTTTCTTGAAATATCCACAATTTGTGATTCTTTACAGATTAATAATCTGAGATATATTACCGTTACTGTTTGTTTTTCGTTGCATCTTTAACCGTATTTTGTTGCTTCTAATTACAAAATTTTTTACTCCTCCTAAAATTTCCTTTTTCATAACAAAGGTAAAATAATAGTGTTTGAATGCAAATAAAATATTCTTTTAACTTTCAGAAAGAAAAAAGAGACTATAATATTAGGACCAAATATTATATTCTAAAATTGCAACATTAAGGTTAAACTTCCACCAATTTCCCATTCCCACAAGGCCACAACTATTTAGATACATATTAGGTTTTCTGATTCTTGAAGTTATATCTTATGATTAATTAAAAAAAAAATTACTTGACATCTAACCTGCACAATTTTAGAGAAGAATATTTTTTAAATAATAGAAATAATCTAACAGTTGTATATCATTACCAAAGAGCATCCTTCGTTTCAAATAAGTTCCAATAAGTTATATAAATATATATATATATATATATATACAGAAACAATAGTAGAATCAAATTAAAATGTAATAATTTGAATACATCTGATGGTGTGGAAGATATATGATGCCAACGTGGTGCCAATGAGGAACAGACATTTCGCACCGTCTTAAAAAAACTTATCTCTTCCTGATAATAACTTTATAGAATTAATAGATGAAAATGAAATATCTAATTACTTTTTTTGGTCAAATTCATCATTAGGTTATTTATAATGTTAATATCAAAAAGGATATAATAATCGTAAATTCATTGTCACATACGACTCAAGTGGCCAACAATATCTTACCCTACTTCTTTAACTACTACTACTACTCACTCGTTAAAGCGATGTTGGCAAAATAAAGCGGCTCGACTTTTCTTACCAAGTAATTAACACAAAAACCAAACCCATCTTTTAGATCAAAGATATTTTACTAAAATACACAGAATCTCCGATGTTCACGTTTCTTTAATCTTATAATAAAGCTTGTTAGAAACCTCGATTAGTTTACAACTATTGAACCAGAGTTTTACAGCAAGAGAGAGATTTTGAGGATTCGAAGAACAAAACGAGAAACAAAATTAGGAAGAAAACAAAACGAAAGAAGCACAAAAATTGGTAAAGATAACGAGTGATTGGACATGAACTTTATCTGTATTATAAATTTCCTCATACTTCTTTCTTTCGTATCCCTTTCTACGTGTAAAAATGTCTACAGTATGTTGAAGTACAAGTACGTTCATTGTACATGAAAGATAATAAGATATACTCCATTGCTTATGTTTTTCAATAATTATCTAAAACAATTAAATATATAGAGTAAGGTGTAGATATTGTTAATTGTATATTAGTCACAGAAACTGATAATACCAAGTCAAGAGAAAAACTGAAGATTAGGTGTGAGATGGTTCTCAGTGCTGACCTTGTCGGACCAAAGACCTTTAGTCATGTTACTCTGTTCATTTGCTTTAGGTTTCGATCTATTTCCACCACCGAAACCAATTTTGATTTTTATACTGTTATGATACTATTTAGGTACTCATCTCATATAGCTCTCAGTGGTTACTTCCGACTCCGCAATATGTCTTTTACATTGAAATGTGTTACAGTATGTGTTATCTTTTAAATTGTTTTTTTTTTTTTTTTTTTTTTTGGTTGACCCACAAAAAGAAAAGAGCGATGAGGAAAAAACAAATTAAAGCGCTGAATCTTCTTATTCTAAAAGGCCCATGATAGATGTTTCAGGCCCATTATCCCTTTCGTAAGGTTAAAATAAAATGGAAGGACATTCCATTGGACTAACATGGCCTACCTAGTGATATGATTTG